TCGGATGAATCCGCTACATCACGATCTTATACATACACTTGTGCTTGATTTCAATCAGCAATCTTCGGGTGAATCCGCTATATCGCGATCTTATGAATACACTGATGCATTGTATCAATCGGTAACCCTCGGATGAATCCGCTACATCACGATCTTATAAATACACTCATGCCTGGTTTCAATCAGCAATCCTCGGGTGAACCCGCTACATCGCGATCTTATCGGCTGTATAGCCAGTCAAGGTCGTTAAGAACTTCCATCGTCGTCAATCGGCATCCAAAAAAAGTTAGTCCAAAAAGTTAGTTACCAGGGCGCAATTACCAGTTGGTAAGCCGTCCACCAAAACATATAACCGTAACCGTAACCGTAATCAATCGGTAATCCTTGGGTGAATCCGCTACTTGACGATCTTATAAATACACTGATGCATGGTATCAAGCGGCAACCCTCGGATGAATCGGCTACATCGCGATGGTCTTTGATAGTAACCAACACTCAACCCACGAGGCGTACCTAGGTATGGCATGGTATTGGTTGATAAAATTTGATATTTTTTATTTAAATGCAAAATTTTTTATTCAATTGGTATATTTCTTCATTTGAATGCAATATTTTTTTATTTGAATGGTATATTTTTGTATTTAAATGCAATATTTTTTATTCAAATGGTATAATATGTCATTCAAATGCAATGTTTTTTATTCAATTTGTATATTTATTCATTTAAATGCAATATTTTTTATTTAAATGGTATAATTTGTCATTCATATGCAATATTTTTTATTCAATTGGTATAGTAGTTTTTTTTATTTATATGCAATAATTGCATTATGGGAAATTCTTTGACGTCTTAAGGTCAAATTTGCAACAACGTTTCTGATTGGTCGGTAATTGTTTGGATTTCCCTAAACATGAGTGACCAAGAATTAAAAAACGCGTCAGAATATCGCCCCTCTAACTAAATCTGGTGTTCGTGCGAGTCCTGCACTGGCTGTTAAAATCTTCTGGTCCTAACTATTATTTCTATTGCAAAATTTCGATGGTCAAAACGTTCGGACCACCACTTTTCAAAAACCTTCATTGTATATGGATCTATATGCAAGTATATATCGTTTTTTTAACTAGATTAGACACCGTTGATTTTCCCGTTTGAATGGTTTACACTAGTGATTTTTTTGGGAGCCCTTTATAGCTTGCTGTTCGGTGTGAGCCAAGGCTCCGTGTTGAAGACCGTACTTTGACCTATAATGGTTTACATTTACAAATTATGACTTGGAAGGAGAGTTGTCTCATTGGCACTCATACCACATCTTCTTATATCTATATACAACATAAACCAGACGTTTCTCATACTGTTTTCTTTTTTAATAAATCCTTTGCCGCGCGCTGTGTACGGATTGATACTTCAGTCTAGGAGAACAAGATTTATTTCAATACTAGTTGTAGTTAGCTTTGAGCAAACTTCCAGTAATTGTAAATACTCTTATGTCGGTGCGTTGTGTCTATTGTCTTAATGTTAGTTTTTTTTTTTTGTGTCTCATACCGATCTTTTGAGTAAATCTAATTGCAACTGATTAGTGCAGGTTGTTCTTTTATTGTACTGTTACACCACTGTCCCAGCTTCGGGATGGGTTGAGTGCGGCTCACAAACATGTTGTTGTACTGTTACACCACTGTCCCAGATTAGGGGAGGATTGAGATCCCGCTAACATGTTTGACCCCGCCACATTCTGTATGTATGCATGTGCTTGTCCCAAGTCAGGAGCCTGTAATTCGGTGGTTGCCTTTTGTTGCTGTGTTATACATATTTATGTTTCGTTCATTTTTTTGTACACTAATTCGGCCGTTAGTTTTCTCGTTTGAATTGTTTTACATTTGTGATTTCGGGGCCTTTTATATAGCTGACTATGTGGTAGTCTTTGCTTATTGTCGAAGGCCGTATGGAGACTTATAGCTGTTGATTTCTGTTTAATTTGGTCTCTTGTGGAGAGTTGTCTCATTTGCAATCATACGGTACCACATCTTCGTTTTTATATCAACCCTGCACTATTCTTTACTTGCCTGTCCCATGTCAGCCTGTAGTTTAGTGGTTGTCGTTGGTTCATGTCTCGACCCGTGATTGATATTTTGCAAATTGTTTTGTTATGTATAATTAGGCCGTTAGTTTTTTTCTTTTAAATTGTTCACACTTTTCATGTCGGACCTTTTATAGACGACTTTACAGTATCAGGTTTTTGTCATTGTTGAAGGCCTTAGGATTGTGTATAATTGCTTACATCCACTTCATATTTGAACTCCGGTGGATAGTTGTCTTATTAGCAATCATATCCCATCTCTTCGTTTTTTATATTATATACCTGACTTCTAAACTCGTGTTTTCCTGAACAAGCATGAAATATTTGTCACTGGGCGTTAACAATTAGCAACAAAACAATCAATCAATTTAAACTTGTGTTAAATAAGAGGAAAACCATTTGATATTTATTTATTTGTTGGGGTGGGGGACAGAAGGATTTCATATATATGAGTATGGTTGCCTGGTAAGAGCTGAAAAATAGGCACGATTAGCGACAGATTAAAATGAATAATAATGCCCTCTCTTCCCTTCCCCATCCTTTATCTATAATATAAACTGACCACAACGGAATAGCCCAATAGTGTTGAAAGTAGCGTAAAAAACCAATCAATCAAAATCCCTTACCGAGAATATCAAATAATCGTCCCTTAACTGTTATTGTCCGTGTAGTTCTTATATTTATCCAGCTTATCGTCCTACAGGAATGTGTTACTAAGGCTTTCATACCATAAAACGTTTATAACATAGCTCACATTCTAATATATCTGAATTCATAAATTTATTAATGTTATTTAGACTAAACGACGCCATGTTTGTTATGTGCCTCTGGCGTCTAAACAACCTATCAAAAAAGAAGAGGTGGAAGAGAGCCAGAAGATCTTCCCAATGCAAAAAAAAAAAACAACAGAAATGGACTTCTTCTGGCTCACTACCGAAGAACAAAAAAACGCGCCCCATTAATATGTTTTAAAAACGCCTTGCCCCTACCCTTTTTTCCCAAAAATTTGCATTGTTAAATATATATACATATATATGATCATCATTAAAATGCTATTGTATTTTTATAAGAACTACTTTATTACATGATCTGGGACTAATGACATCTATCTATAAGTCCAAGCATACAGTAAATTATTATAATATGAATATGTTTCTTGTTTTAATAACCACATTTGATGCTATGCATGAGTCACCATTTATCAGGACAGGAATTGGGTTTACATAGAGAGAATAATGTGCAAAACATGGATATGGGGCGGGACCAAACATATAGATAACATAATAAAGAAATGATGAAATATAAAGAATGCGTCGATTGTTTTTTGGTTGCCAAATGTCCAGTAACAAATATTTCACGCATGTTTAGCACAAACATAATAGAGATCAAAGGATAAAGAATAGAGTGAAATGGTAAAAACTAAAAGATATAGAATTATAGAAACTATCTTAAATCTGAATCTCCTCCCCTCACACACACACACACACACATTAACCATTACTGCAAATATCGCATATATACATCTCTATACAAATATCTTAATCTGACCCCCCCCCCCCTACACACACACACTCCCTTAGACACCGAGGTTTTGGTTCCGCCCCTGTTAAATGTATCTTATAATATTATACATTTTGTACGGGTCTAGATAATTGCTAAACGTACAATCCTATAATTTGTTGGATACAAATCATTAGATGCTAGCTATGCATTTTTTTTTATTTCGATGTGTAGACTGTCGGGGAGTTTCTTCAGAAAGGGTTTTCATTGGAGGCGTTTTTGCCATGCACGCAGGCATCTGTTTCTATCCATGAACAGGTTGTGTGTCAAAATAATTATTATTACTTGTCACTCGCATTTTTTGCTCGACCTGGCCATTATTGGCATTAACAGCCAGTGCACGAACTCGCACGAACGCCAAATTTAGTTAGAGGGGCGATATTCCGACGTGTTGTTTTAATTCTTGGTCACTCGTGTTTAGAAAGAAAGGGGGGAAATCCAAACAATTACCGACCAATCAGAAACGTTGTTGCAAATTTGACCTTAAGACGTCAAAGAATTTCCCATAATTCAACTATTGCATATAAATAAAAAAACTACTATACCAATTGAATAAAAAATATTGCATTTGAATGACAAATTATACCATTTAAATAAAAAATATTGCATTTAAATGAAAAAATATACCATTCAAATAAAAAAATATTGCATTTGAATGAAGAAATATACCAATTGAATAAAAAATATTGCATTTGAATGACAAATTATACTATTTGAATAAAAAATATTGCATTTGAATGACAAATTATACCATTTGAATAAAAAATATTGCATTTAAATGAAAAAATATACCATTCAAATAAAAAAATATTGCATTTAAATGATGAAATATACCAATTGAATAAAAAATATTACATTTAAATGACAAGTTATACCAATTGAATAAAAAATATTGCAATTGGATGACAAATTATACCAATTGAATAAAAAATATTGCATTTGAATGACAAATTATACCATTTGAAAAAAAAATATTGCATTTAAATGAAAAAATATACCATTCAAATAAAAAAATATTGCATTTAAATGAAGAAATATAGCAATTAAATAAAAAAAATATTGCATTTAAATGAAGAAATATACCAATGAAATAAAAAATATTGCATTTAAATGAAAAATATCAAATTTTTGCAACCAATACCATGCCATACCTAGGATGTCTTTTTAGGTTTTATAAAAATTTTATTCGACATAATATGTAGCCTATAAAAGCTAACACTACTGAAAGCATTTATGACGCATTAAGACTATAAAAAGATGATAATTTATAAAAAATTTGCAACTAAATCTAGTCCCTAATGGTATAAAGTAAAACTATATATGTATTGTTTTTGTAATAATTGTAATAACTTGGTTTTTTTACAGATCGCAGACAACTCTATTAGAACATCAGACACATTCATGGTCTTGTTGACAATAGAAAAGCACGAACAGTTATCTTACTTGGATTTTGGCGTAAGTTTTCATTAAGTAGGATGTACTTATGTGAAGTTTTGGAATTTGTGTCAGATGATCGGACTCCTTGGTTTTTTTCCTGCGATACAGCAGGTAAAATATTTTGCCCCATGACACCCATTTTTCTTTTCATATAAAACTTCGATAGCTAATAAAAGGTATTTTACCAAAATTAAAGTAGATTCTAGATTTCTTTTCTTTCGATTTGAGACCAAAATAATACCAATACAAATACATGTATAAGGTAAAAGTCCGAGTCAGCCTTTTCCCGCAATTTTTCTAAACTCAAATATCTGGAACCATAAAAAATAACGACATGGACATATATTTCAATTTTTCCATTATTTTGAGGAATACAATGTAAGATTGTGAAAGACGAATCCAAATAGTTCTTAAAAAAACATCCGATAGACTCACAGTAGAACAAAATATACTGATATTCAAAGCTACAGGGCCATGCAAAACTTAATTATAAGCAGCAATCGATTTACATCCACAATTAAATAATTCTATTTATTCACTCCTCCCCTATATAAAGAAATATTATTTCATTCTTTAATAACACTCTCAGTTTTTCTAAAAAAAAACACCTTTCACCCCCTTCCTTTTCTATTTTTTTTTATGAATTTTTTTTATGTTATTGTAATTATTGACTGTATTTTGTTACGTACATATTCGTTTCCCAAACAGCATGTTATCATACTAGCTTGTAATTTTATTTTTGAATTTAGGGAGACGGATTTATAAACGATCACTGCTCTTGTTTCCTAATCCCAATTATTGAATCATTTGTATATTTCGTATTTTTGTCTTTTATGTCTTTTATGTCTTTTATTACCCTTGTAGCTATATATATATATATGTAACGATTTCTTTGATAAGATATATTTTCAAAAAAAAAAAAAAAAAAAAATCTGATTTTGCTAAATAGCTTGAATTAGGTGAGTTTACACATTAGATAAAAAAAACAAAGCAACATAATTATAAACTAACCCAACAAAAAGCAAAATTCACTAGTAACCTCCCAAAAGAATAAACAAAAATAAAACACACACAAGCACGCACGCACACATGTGCACATAACTGCTATATTATTTTTTTCACTTTCTTGTTTCATTTTATGTGTGTGATTACGTGATGTTTATTAAATTATTTTCTCAGAATCAACCAGTCACAGATGAGTTTGAACAGAAAGTCTCAGAAATCGGAAAAGAGAAAAAACTAGTGGTCAAATACGGCAAAATTATCCGTAACCCAAATCCCAGAAAAAAAGATGGGGATGACAGAATGTATATCAGCGGCGATCCACTACTGGTTCTTCTGGAATTCACCAGGATGAAGAAAATACATATATTGGACATGTTCCGAGCATTCGATACAGACGGAAGCCATTCTATATCATGGGAGGAATTCGGACAGGGAATAGAGGTTGGTTTATACAAGCTCTAAACCACACGGGTTTCTTTAGGACCCGCGACAAACACATTTTTAAAAACTCCGAAACGGGGCTACCACAGGTGCTTGTGACAATATACCCTTTGGTTGCCCCTGAGTGGGAGTAGCCCTCCCCCCCCTCCCCCCCCTGTAGTTTAATTTTGACTAATTTATTATTAAACGTTTATTTAAATTGTTTTCACTTGGAATATATGTCGAATTTAAGTCCGGTCGACTGATATGTACTTACTAGGGAACCTGTTTTAATATTTCAAAGTCTTACAATTCACTGGACTAGACAACTCTATAAAAAAAAGAAAGAAGATGAAAAGGAAAACTTGTAAAACGTGAACGTAAGAAAACATCAAATCATCGAATACAAAGAAATTTAATAAAAGTTTTGTCAACTTCTTACCTGAACTTTCCCCGACCGTTTTTTTTTTAAATGTTTTTCATAATCAACGTGTGATTCGATTGATCTCAGTTTCTTATTGGTCAAAATTCAATTATGACGGTCAAATTTTTTTGATTTCATCTGAATTTTCTATTTTGACGTAACCAATAAAAGGCGACAATGCCTGATGCCGTCACATAGAAAGAACATATCTTTTTTGTAGAGAAGATCGTTGAAATTATATTTAAAGGTTGTCTACATATCGTCTAAAAATTATTAGTGAAACAGATTTCACCACAGAATCTCGTGCAATACGATCTTTCTCCACACTTGGCAGATACATTTAAATAATGAAAACGCTTGGCAAGCCTCGCGTTTTAAATTTAAAACAAAAATTAAGTGTCTCGAGTGGGAAAATATCGTATCACACTTGATGTGGTGGTAGAATCAATATATACAATTTTTCTCTCTCGAATGCATCATTTATCTTACAAGCAGTTCATCTTCAAATCGTCTAAAATTTCACTGAAAACAAAAATATCACAGTTTCGTTTGTTTAATTTGAAGTTCTAACAAGTTCGATTAATTACCGAACATATATTAAATTGTAAATGTTTGTAAATAGCTACGGGTAGAGTTTTCGCAAATTTCGATATTGATTTCAAAAATAAATAGGAATTTATTTTGACATTTTACCATGTTTCCCATGTTCCATGATACTTTCAAATACAAAAACATTCTTTTAGGTCTTAATGTAAAAATGTAAGAAAAACGTTTACAATTTCACAATGTTGCCAAATTTGCAAGCAACATTTTGAGTTAACAGATATTTGAAAAAAAAGAAGTTTTTGCATCAAGGATTTTTATTTAGCAATTCCATTACGTTGAAAGATTTACATATACTAGAGGCATATAAAACTAAATATAAGATTATTTTTCGTTCTTAAACAATTTCAATAAAACCTCGAGGCCACGTGAAATCACGAGATTTCGCCGTGTCGCCAATTTCGAATATTATACGTAGCTACATAATTATACTGACTCAGTGAGTGAAAAAACTTTAAAAGATGGTCTCACGTATGTCTTGATATTTTTCATCCATAAGATTTTCAATCTTTACAGCACAACAAGTTACCAATTAGACCATCCGACATAGACAAGATAATACAGAGTATTGATATAAATATGGATGGACAAGTGGATTTCAGGTTAGTGAATACTCGAAGCACTCAAAAGCTTTTTAGAAAGCTAAGTTTTTGGTTCAGATCTTGTATGAGTTCCTGCATGGGTCTGGATGGGAGGTCTTCATATCTGTAATTTTTAGGTCATTTGCATCTATTCTTATTTTTTGCCCATTACAATTTACATTTTTTCTCTATTCTCTATATTTTTGGCCTATTATTTTCTATTCTGTAAATCCCTATATAGACCCTCTTGTACAGATCATGGCGGTAACATACATTTTACCAGTTCAGTTTCTTGTATATTCCTCCATTAATTGTGGAGCACTACCCATAGGGTATAATTGTAGCAGCTATATACACCTTAGAACATAAGGAAGCATTTAATTATGTACAGATGACTGAATTTAGGCAATAATAATTACTAAAAATTAATATTATAACTAATTCATAGGATTGTCATCATAAAATTTAAAAAATAATATTCATAATGTGCTGAAGTGTAAGAATAAGTTAAGTGAGAACTGGATATATTTACAAATAAGAATTTAGAATTTAAGTGGTCTTAAATTAAACTTTCTTATAATTGTTAGTTAAAGGTGCTATACGTACATCAGAATTTATAATGAGAAGGTTATTTTATAGGACTTATGTAAAAGGGTTGGGGTTTAGAACAATTCATCATATATACATAAGTTTACCTTCACAGTTTAAAGTTACCTTATTTCGGATCTTATCATTATTCCTTAAAGGTAACTGGATATCTTAAAACTTTGCAAAAATTTTTACCTCCAATATTGTAACAAGACACCACACTTCTTAAATGAATCAATTTGGGAGTATCATGTGCTCTTGGCGTAGCTGTTTTTTTATAGATCATTTGGTTTTATTACATGGAATACATGTATTTTTACAAAATTCTTAAAAATCATTGGCTATATATTATAGTGTTGGTGTATATGCACTCAGAAACTTGTTAATCGTTTCTCCTCCTCTTATTTATCACCATGAATTGACGCGACATTGTAAAGCCAGGTAAACCAGAAAAAGCAAAACTATTCATTGGTCGGGGTAGGAACGGATCTTGAATACTCATACTGTAACTTTTAGATTCTATTTAATACATTCCCATGTCCGTGATATGTTTCTATGTATCACACTAGCCAATAGAATCATTCCTACATCATAAGGCAACCAATGAGAACAGAAATTTGTTTAATAATAGTTTCAAGATTGCGTGAATATCGTATAAAACTAGCAGCTTCGCATCGTGATTCGAAGGAAGCAATAAGACTAATTAATCCATGACAAACGGAATATTAAGAAATTGAACTTGACTAAAATAGTTCATTTGCTTCATTCAACATTAGTATTAATACGACTTGTACTCAATCATTTGGAATTTAAGTATAAACGGAATCTTGTCTGCTACAACAAAATGTATATTCACTTTTTTCACAATCTGAAGCACCAGTCTGAAGCATTTAGGGTACAATACAAAAAGCAAATTTCTAACACGAAATATGTTAAAAACAGTGGTGTTTTCATTTGGTGTTCGGAAAACTTAGTCAATGTTTAAAATTGACAACTACAGTCGAACCTCGTTGTGTCGAAGTCGGAGGGACCGGACCAAAGTATTCGACACATCCGAGGTTCGACTCATCCGAGGTCAAGTGTGTCGTCATAAATTTTGAATGCATGAAATACGGTATGAGAGTTGTGTAAACTAGATACAATAAACAGTGTGCCTTTTTTCGATATGACACTTTATGATAGTGTATTCAATCTCCATTTTTGGTCCTTCGTAATAATTAAAAACACAAGTACAGATACAAATCATGCACAAATAAAATCAATAGTCTACACAAATATTTACAAAGGTCAGTCGCTATAAATTATGAAATCACTCGCGGCACGAAATAAGTTCTGAACGGTCTCTGATGAGGTCGTCTGCTTTACATTAAATGATCATGAATTAATTATAATTGTCCTAATCCTTTTATCTATTGTAATTAATGAGTTTTAAATGTAATGATTCATTTAATCTCGGCTTGGGTCATTTAAATTCGTTTCGTTTTTATCTCAGGTGAAAAATGTTCAACACACTAACATTCCGCTTGAACGACCAGCAGTCACCATAAACATGTCATTTTAATTGTTATACAAACAAGTATGTTTACTAAGCTTTAATCTCTTTTGAATATAATAAGTTGACATAAGAAATACATCCGATTTGAATTTTTATCATAAGGTCTGCATCTTGCGAAAATTCATACTTTCGAAGTTCGAGACATCGGGGTCAATTTACATTAATTTTACTTCGACGGGACTATAAAATTTATCGACTTAACCGAGTATTCGAATCAACCGAGTTCGACTCATCATAGGTAATTATGCATTGATCAAACGGGAATTTTACCGGGACCGAGAAATTACTTCGACTCATCCGAGTTTTCGACACAACCGAGTTCGACATAACGAGGTTCGACTGTAATCAAGTTGTGTTTGACGGAAGATGCTTTATTCTTAATGTAATGCTATGGTAGTAACACACACAGTATCAATAAAAAAAAAACACTGAATATAAATTAAATAATTAATATATACACGATATACAATTTTTGCCTTGGACATCAACACGTTAACTGATGCCCGGATTTATGAACCAAAAAAAGGGGGGACAACTTCAATACATGTACAAGAGTTGCCTCCCATTGTACACAATCGTTTACTTACATCACCCCAGTTTTTGTCTGGGTTCGTGTAGCTTAGTCTTAATTTTTTATTTAGTGTTTATTGTGAACTTGTTTGTCTTAATTGAGTCGTCTTTCGTTTTTTTTTTGACATGGCGTTGTCAGATTGTCTGGACTTACGTTCGAGTTTCGAATGCCCTTCGATATCTTCCTCTTCTTTTTAACATGTACCTACCGCAGATGCGGATTAGGGAGGGGCCCGAGTCCCCTTTTGTTGGAAAAGTTTGGTTGATTATTTAGGGAATCGCTGAAGCATGACTGGAGCTGGACCCCTCTTAAGCAGTCAGTGGCTCCCTCTAATAATTTCTGGATCCACCACTGCTACCGTATTTGAAAAGGAAAACTAGAATCAAACATTTTTTTAGAGTCGATTAAAATGACAATTCTTTCTTCTTTTAGTGAGTTGGTTATTGCCCATAAAGAACATACAAAGAAATTTGAGAAATTTACGGCCAGAGGAGAGGATGTATTCCAGAGGAGTGAAATTGGAATTATAAACGAACGGCTAAGGAAGTGGTTTGCAGATTCCTTGTTGACTGAGGCTGTTTCTTAAAAACTTTAGATTACAAACGGGAATACATGAAATATTCTTACATGTTCATCAAAAGCAGATACAATCAAATTTTTAAAGGATCAGATTCATATTTCACTATACATTTATTCTTACAAAGACAATGGTGCTATTGCATTCGTATTTGATAAATATCATGAAACTATTTATTATATCTCAGTATGTATTTATTTATAAAAAATTGAAATATTTGTGCTTTTTCATTTCACACACAGTACTTCCAGACTATTTGCCAGTATATAGTTTCAAAGACTATTACCCCGTTCAATAGTTTTGCAATCATATTTCCCAAACTTTTTCATATTTATTTTTCATTGGACCAAGATGGAGTCATTGACACTTCGCTTTGCTTGAACCTTTTCTCGTCGTAATGTAAAACACTGAAACATCAAAATCTTCAAGAAAAAAAAAGCAGACAACATCATGGCCAAGTTATGGAATAAAAAGAAACGGACAGATATACAACAGTCCACAAAAAACTACACAAAAAAGTAAAGTTGAGCAACATGAAGCCACCCCCCCAAATACCCAAACAAACAACAAAACAACCTGGGTTGAACTAAGGTGCTCCGGAAGAGTCAGCGATTCCTGTTCCACTAGTAACACCCATCATGTAATACTTGTTAAAAACTGCATAATGATATAAGGATATCAGAACTGTACACATTGTCTTTGTTTAATACTGTGACATTGTCTTTGTTCAATACTGTGACATTGTCTATGTTCAATACTGTGACATTGTCTATGTTCAGTACTGTGACATTGTCTTTGTTCAATACTGTGACATTGTATTTGTTCAGTACTGTGACATTGTCTTTGTTCAGAACTGTGACATTGTCTTTGTTTAGTGATGTGACATTGTTTTTGTTCAGTACTGTGACATTGTCTTTGTTCAGTACTATGACATTGTCTTTGTTCAATACTGTGACATTGTCTTTTTTCAGTGCTGTGACATTGTCTTTGTTCAGTACTGTGACATTGTCTTTGTTCAGTACTGTGACATTGTCTTTGTTCAGTACTGTGACATTGTTTTGTTGAGTGCTGTGACATTGTTTTTGTTTAAGTACTGTAACATTGTCTTTGTTCAGTAATGTTATATTGTCTTTGTTTAGTGATGTGACATTGTCTTTGTTCAGTGCTGTGACATTGTCTTTGTTCAGTACTGTGACATTGTCTTTGTTCAGTACTGTGACATTGTCTTCATTCAGTGCTGTGACATTGTCTTTGTTAAGTGATGTGACGTTGTCTTTGTTCACTGCTGTGATATTGTTTTTGTTCGGTTCTGTGACATTGTCTTTGTTCAGTACTGTGATATTGTCTTTGTTCAGTAGTGTTGCATTGTATTTGTTCAGTAGTGTTGCATTGTCTATTGGTCAGTGCTGTGATATTGTCTTTGTTCAGTAGTGTGGCATTGTCTTTGTTCAGTAGTGTGGCATTGTCTTTGTTCAGTACTGTGGCATTGTCTTTGTTTAGTGATGTGACATTGTCTTTGTTCACTGCTGTGATATTGTCTTTTTTCGGTTCTGTGACATTGACTTTGTTCAGTACTGTGATATTGTCTTTGTTCAGTAGTGTGGCATTGTCTTTGTTCAGTAGTGTGGCATTGTCTTTGTTCAGTACTGTGACATTGTCTTTGTTTAGTGATGTGACATTGTCTTTGTTCACTGCTGTGATATTGTCTTTGTTCGATCTGTGACTTTATCATTGTTCAGTACTGTGACATTGTCTTTGTTCAGTGCTATGACATTGTCTTTGTTCAGTACTGTGACATTGTCTTTGTTTAGTGATGTGACATTGTCTATGTTCACTACTGTGACATTGTCTTTGTTCAGTACTTTACCATTGTATTTGTTCAGTGCTGTGACATTGTCTTTGTTCAGGACTTTGACATTGTCTTTGTTCAGTACTGTGACATCATCTTTGTTTAGTGCTGTGACATTGTGTTTGTTCAGTGGTATGACACTGTTGTTCGGTACTGTGAAATTGTCGTAGCCACAATGTCGATGTACTTTTTTTTGTTCATTCGTAATATCACCTTATACGATTTGTAACCGGTTTGTAACAACTATGAGCAACACGACGGTTGTCACTAGTGAGGCTCCTCGTTGGGGTGTCCAAGTAGTCACATAATCACAAATTGTTTGCCAATATAATCACACAATCATTAATTATTTGTTTAAGCAAGATAATAAAACAATCAAATGTACTGTCCTAGATTACCAAATAATCAAATAATCATGAAATATTTGGTCTGGTAATCAATTAATCACTATAAAAACGGCCAAGTAATCACATAATCAAAAACCCCATGAGGAGGCTCACTAGTAAAGCAATACTTACTTTATATAATTCGCTTCCCGAAAAACTGAGTCCATCCGACAATTTATTACTGTATAATGATTCCTCTTTCTGCTTATATGTGTATATGTGTAGAATAATAAAAATAAGATAGACAACAGACGCAGATCCAGGATTTGATGTTAGAGGGCACTCTTAGAATTGGGAGTATATGCTAAGTATCTCTTGATACAGAAAAATAGTTTCTATCCTAGTTTCATCAAATTTTCTGCGGGTTTGACAAAACATGTCTTAAATTAAACCAGTCCTTATATTGTATCTGAATTCTACGCAGTTAAAACTAAGTCATTATATCAGTTAAATGCACAAGAATGAACAAAATAATTCCAATTTTGCACTGAATACTGTCTTTTGCTCACAAAGAAGTTTCTGCTCAAGTTTCGATAACCTCAATGTATGGTTGACAAAGTTATATATGTGTAAAAATCTTTAATGGATATGCATATTGAAGATTCTATAACATTTAGTAAAAACATTTGGTCAGTATAATTGTCTTTCCGCTTCATGTTTCTGTTGAAGGACCAATTTTCCATGCCTACCTTCCACCACAAAAGATAAATAATCCGTAGCGTAAAGTAAATAAATAGGAGAATTTCGAAATGGCATGGTCTTTACTATACATTTCCTTGTGCTAGTTTTAAAGATTCTTGTACACAATAAATAAAAGTGAAGTTTTAATTCTCAAGATTTGGTTTTTACGTTCGTTTTCAAAATCTAACGAAATTTACCTAATCTAAAATAAACAGCGTGCTAAAAATATATACATTCGTCATGTGTGCATAGACGATGACTATATAAAGAGTCATGAATTTATTTATTTTTTCGTCCTGAACATGCATGAAATATTTGCCACTGGACTTTAAGCAACCAACAATCAATCAATGCAAACTAATCGACCACACAAAGAACATATTTCAACGAGAAAGAATGGCAGAAGTATTATCTGGATTATAATAGCCAGCAATTTAGCCGAACGTCTATACACACACTTTTTTAATCTTTTCAATGGGATGTAAAAGAACTTTCTTCAAGGTTCGAGTCTTATTAACAGGAGGTTTTTTTATGTTGATTTCCGACGATTCTGGTTTTTTTGTCAGGATTTTATCTGTCTTCATTTACTGCTTCCTCGCTCCACTGATTAATGATTTCTGCCACGAAAAACTTGACCAAACTATGCTGGATAAAGCACAGCGTGGTAATCATGTCCAAAAAATGTTGAGGACAATAATATAATTCGCAAGAAGGCTATCAATTCGAAAATAAAAGGCACGGAAAAGGTTTTAGATATCCTAAACTTACGCTAGAACAAATCAGAGGTATTACAATGAGAATATATCAATTAAAGCAGGCTCCAAGGTATGTCAAGTTGGCGCCGGGTGGTCGGTTGTTGTGCGCATGTTGCTTCTATAATGTGGTACCTTGGGTACAGCAGTAGGGAACTAGAGACACCTATCTCGTGTAGATATTCAGATTCAATTTTGAATGCGAAAGATGTGCCACTTGAAAAAGATTCCGATTCTGATAATGATGGTTTCATTAAGGGGTGACTCTTACACTTTCATTTGTTGAAATAGCTCTATTAGATGCAAATACATTGATATAGTGAAGGTATATTCTGGTGACTGCATCATTGGGCGTGCAGCTTCATTGTAAATTAAGAGGCAGTTAGCAAGCCACCATTTATTTTGAAAAGGGGATGTTTTTTTTTTAAATTTCAGAACAAACTATTTTGTGAACTAAAGCATAAGACTGTTTTTTTTTAATTTTCAAATATAAGACGTATTTTCTCGCTTTAATAGATATACTGTTAAGTGTTTGCTCTCTTATTAAGGATAAGAATGTGTTTACAATCATTTGTGGTCACATGGCAGAGGTTTGATCCATGCGAGCTTAAGCCGTAGCTTAGGTTCCAGTCTGGTGTATTGTATCAACGTTTGGTCTTTTTGCTCTCACTGAACATACTCTACATAAAACAGTATAGAAATCTAAGTACTGAATGATGATTAGTATTGAAATTAAAAAAAACATCATTGATGCAAATTGTCAGCAAATGTGGTTACAGTTTTTTCTAGTTTAAACTGATTGACTTGTGATGTTATGTATCTTTAATAAACAAAACTTTGGTCATTTTGGAGATTTAACATTTTGTTTGGTATTACTATATGGAATGTGGTTGGTATATTATGCACCAAGATAGGTATATCCAATTACCTGACATTTTAATATGGACCTCCTGCAGTTTCGATTCAGACTCTAAGCCTTGTCTTTTAGCAACTTTTCATAGATTTTCACCTTAATTTAAATTTTAAACCTAGTAAGCTATACATGATTATAATTCAGGGAAAAGCTTTATTCATCAAGTCGAACTCCTTACATAGAATGAATCTCGTGGGTTCCACGACCATTTATATATGACCTTGTGTAATTTTATGTTATTTTTGTCAAAGAAAATTGCCTGTTATTTCTTTAATTTTGTAATGTATGTAATTGTTGTTTGGTTATAGAATAAAACAATAGTTCAAGTTATGAAGTCTGTTTTTAACGTAACTGCTATGAGGCAGGGGTTAATCATTATGCTAATGATGTCATGATATAAATAAGGTGTAGACTAGCATATTATTGGCAGTTTTCAAATCTTTTGCTAGGCCACCAAAAAAATGATAATAACAACGAAAAAGTTGTAATTTTTTAAGCTTTTATACCTAGTCAGTTGAAATTATAAAAATCAATTCATTTCAAGAGGGGTCAACAATGGCCCTTATTGTACCATGTTGTTTTCAAATTTATATTTTTTTTCAACTTTCAATTCGTAAGATTATTCAAAAGTTAATTTGAGCTGTAACTCCATTTAATGGTAAATTTCTAAACTAAAAAAATCACGTTTCTCGGACAAGAAAGTTTTTACATGTATTCACAAATTTCAAATGTTTGCATGAGAAACGTGAACACACCAATCTGACCAACATCGATTTTACGCTGACCAATGTCCTGACTGATTGAAAGATGCAAACATTTGAAATATATATAAGTATATATAAAAAAATAACTTTAAATGTTGAGCATATGAGGATTTCTGCAACTATTTGAAAAACTAAATATTAGTGTTAAAAAAAATAGGAAAAATCTTATTTTCTGTAAGAAAACAAAATTATTTGAAAAAATATATATTATTTTTCCAAAGAAAATAGGAAAAGAAATTATTTTCTGTAAGAAAACAAAATTATTCGAGAAAAATATTTCAGAATTTGAGAAAATAAATTCAAATCTAATTTGAGAAAAAACACAAATTACATTAACAATCTCCGAAGGTAATCCAGTGAAAAGTAAAAAAAGAGGTTGCAAAAATTGACCTGTATATTTTTAGGTCCGTTTTAGTCTTCTTTTAGAATAAAGTTCTGTTTTAAATGCTTCTAAATGCACACAAATGTGTACAGTGGTATCAAGTTATAATTTATATGGTTTGCAATATCATTTTTAACATGAAAATTATATCAAAAGTTTTTATTGGAGTATATTTGGGTATATTGGGGGTAAAAAGTCATATTGTGATCGTAAGCGGCTGACATAAACCATATATACAATAGTTAAGAAGATTAACACTTTAGATGTTGAGATAATTCAGCGCATTAGTTCCATTTTCTAATTGAATGTTTTCTTAATATCATATACTTACTAATTCACACATTTATATTAAAAAAAGTCAATGAAGTAATCGATCATCACACCATGGATACACAAATCCTAGTTCACACGCTGCTGCACATACACGTTATGACAACACGAATAAGCTTGTCTAAGTTTTATAAACAATTATACTCGCTTTATTGTTCAATCTAAATCGTTACATAATGATACGGCACCTTCTTGTATAATAAAGATTAAAATTGAATTTAAAGTAACAATAATTCCCGGTGTGACTCAATACAATTACAGTTAATGACATAATCAATGCTTTATACATTTAAATTTAATTACCTTATATTGTATTTTTTTTATTTTTTCACTAAAAGGTTTAATTATAACACAAATTTAGTATCCGATTTAAAGAAAATTTACTTTTACACGAAATTGATGTGCATGTTGTATTAAATTTCTTGGAATATAGCGAAACGAAATTGAAGTGATTGGAAGATATATATAGCACGGAACAATTCTAAGCGAGACGTAATCATTTTTCGAACGTTTTTTACGACATAATTATGTCTGATAAAAAATATAAAGTGACAACGGATGAACAAATAGAGGGAGAGGTAGGTGCTATAACCTTATGTAATGAATGTATTGGTGATGAATATCATTATTTATATGTATGTAATAATACTACTATTACTGAACTTCGGAAGAAATATATATACCGAAATATTATACAACGTTCCCATCTGTACTGAAAATGCAAAAGATGCTGTCATTGTGTCACTGTCAGTTATTGCATAATTTATCTATATTTATCATGTTTATCAAGAAACTATCTACTCTCATTTAGTAAGATGCATGTATCTTACAATTTTTATGATTTTTGGAAAGTACACTTTTGTAATTAGTCTCCTGTCTATTCTGTCATTTATTGTATATATTTGTAATTTGTCCTCACGTAACGCATATTTTGTGTCTGAGTGTAAATAAATAATTGAAATTGAAAATTAACGAATAACGTTGCTAAGGGTCTTAATGAGGACCCTTGATTTAATTCTTCATACTTTAATTCAAAAGTTTCCCTATTACTTATTTGTTTTGACTATTTTTCTCTATTCCTTATTTGTTTTGACTATTTTTCTCTTTTCTTTATTTGTTTTGACTATTTTTCTCTATTCCTTATTTGTTTGGACTATTTTTTCTCTATTCTTTATTTGTTTTGACTAATTTTCTCTATTCTTTAATTTTTACCCTTCATTCAAGATTCAAAGTTTTATTATCCTCAGACTCGATAGTGTACAAGAGGTCAATATACATACATACACAAATAAACGAAATATCTATACAATAATTATTAAACAATTATGAAAAACATTACATGTACGACAACAGGAGATAACACGCATTTGAGGTTCATCATTATATTATGAAACCTTTTCGCAAATATTGCCGTATTTACACCACACACTTTACCCTGAGTACAGACAAACCCGTGCACCAGGAAAAGCCTCGGAGCATAGTCTATCCTAGATATATATATAAAAAAGTGAAATGCATTTCAAGTTCCAGAAAAATTCAATGTACAGTGTTTGTCCATTATTCTCTATTCTGTAAGCCCCACCAGACCCTCATGTCTGTATCAAATCAGATACCTTGTTAGTGGTTGTCTTATGTGATATTTGAATTTGAATTTTTCAAGTATTTATTCTGTGATATTTTAGCTTATTTTCACGATAATTTAATGTGTAGAAAATATCAATAAAGGGTCAAAATTTATAAACTACTGTTATTGTAATATCGCATGGAAAAGAGTATGAAAACACTTAAATTAATTCAAAATATTATTGCATATTAACCCACAAATATTAAAACACAAAAAAAATTTTTAGAAAAGGGGGGGTTAATTACAAACGCGTGCATCTGTGTTCTCTTTCGAATAATGACTTTTGAATATGAAAAAAATAATGTAATCTTTTAAAGTATTTGTTTCGTCTGAGTTTTATTCGATTTCAAGATATTTTATGGTTAATTGTTCTGCTTCACCTCCAATTCTTTTAAAATTAAAAAAAAAAGTACGGTCATGTGAATCAACTGATTTGATTTGTGATGCCGCTATATATAAGGTTCCTGATTGGGATCATCCATGATTTCTGTTTAGGTAATTTTTCGCTATTGTTTTTATTGTTTAAACCCATTATTATCTATTCTTTATATTTTACCCCCCCCCCCCATTATTCTCTATTCTTTATATTTTATCCCCCCTTATTATTCATTATATTTAAACCCCCTCCCCCATTATTCTCAACAAGTTTTAAAATGTGCCGATATACGATTTTGGGACGAATATGCAGAGGGCGGTATACATTTATTCTATGGTTGAATGATAAGCATAAGCATAAAAGATTTATTTAAAGTCGGTTACACATATAACAATACAACATAAGCTCTGTTTAATTGATTTTTGCTTGCTTAACATCCAGCGATGTTTCTACCTCCATGATATACGAATAAGAATTTCGCAATAACCAATTTTGAAAACTAACCTGTTATTACCTTCATCATCCGTGTATGGAGAATGTTACACTTTTTCTCAAAAAAACATTTTACGGCATTACCAATTTTCATTCAGAGGGCTGTGGGAAGGGACCCCAAACGTATGTCTTGTGTCTTCTTAATGAATTAGCTTCATTGATTATTTTAGAAATTATAAAGAAACTTATATATATATTAGTTCCAACTCCTTCAGTCAAAGATTACCATATATCTATATACGGTTATTCTTTTTAAGTCCCCTTTTGGCTATGTAGCTCCTTAAGTAACCAATCATGTATGCATCTTTGGCTTTCAAACTTGTGGGTTTGAGCGTTCATAATAAAGGTTATTTCAGAAAAGAACTTTGGACGCAATTACATTTACAACGTAATATTTTCATTTTCTAGCACTTGTTCTACACTACTGGTGGTAGAATGCTAGTAAATTTGTCGAAGATACCAGTCACCGAGACCAGCTCAGTAGTCAGTGCTTCGGATTATAACTAACATTTATTAAAGTTAGATATTATAGTAATTATAAAGAAACTAAAAGAGAGGCGGAAGATTCCAAAGGTATATCAAACCTCAGAGGTCGATGCCAAACTGACAACGCCATGGAAAAAGACAACTCCCTCAGACAAAGTTGACCTTGACCATTCTTTTTATGCCATCGTGGTCATGGGTTTAAACCTTCAATCTTTCCTTAAATTTATTTCATGAATTTCAGATATGCACTCCAGAACCAGAGAATGGGTGGCAAAACTTGAAGAAAGCAATGAAAAGCAAAATATTGGACGATGAATATGAAAAAAGTCTTTTTTGTGAAATGCGTAAGAAAAGACGGACAAGTAAAACGTCCATGGATGATTTGTCCATTGAAATCCCTCGTTTCTTGATCAAAAGGCCATCTCTTATTCTAAATGATGAGATATTAGATTTCAATAGGAACATCTACCAGTCTATACAATCGAGCACACCCACATCAGACGAATTTGAGCTATCAGACTTTGAAGGTAAGATTGGGGTCTGGATGGGGTCCTGAAAATATTTAGGTAATTTTTCTTTATTTATTTTAATTGCCCATTATTCTGTATTTTCTTTACTTTAGAACCAAATTATTTTCTATTCTTTATATATTTTGCACCCTATTATTTTCATTATTTTTATTTTTCCTATTTTTTCTATTCTATATATTGTTGCCCTTTATTCTACACTTATAATGCTCATTGTTCTTTATTCTAACGCCACCCAGACCCCCTTGCACTGTGACAAACTACGTTTAAATATATTTTAAATATTAAAATAAGGAGATGTGGTATAATTGCCAATAGAACAACTATCAACCTGAGACGAAATGATGTAGATGTTAGCATCTATAGCTCGAGAACTATTGAACTATATGTCACCGTACGTAAGGCATTCAACAAAGATCAAAAAAAATTCCGAATATGTAACATATAAAAATATTCGATATTACAAATTATCGCTATTTTACGAAATTTTCCTTTGATCTTACTGACTTAGAGTATTTGCTATGAGAAATTGTAAAAGTCCCACTATATATGTATTTAGTTTATACATGGGTTTAAAAATCTATTCTTAGATGATGAAGACACCATCGAAAGCGTATGCACTTGTCAAGAACAATATATTCGAACGTGCAAGAAATATCACGTGGTTCCGGTATCAAGATTTTATAGACAGTTAGAAGGAAATTCTGTGATTCTTAAAAACCACCAATTCAGCAAGGGTGAATTTAAAGCTTGTGCAGTTGCTTTGATGGTGAGTTATTTTTTAATTTAATAAATGTTGAACTAATTTTGCTTTGAAACAAATACATGTACATGACATCTAAACATGGATTGATCTTATGGTATAATCAAAATTTAAGATATAAGCAATGGATTTGGAATTGCAAAAAAATTTGCATTTTTGTTTTAAATTTCAGAACTTTTTTTATAATTCCAGTAAGTTTTCAGTTTTGACTGGATATACAGCCCTCGCACGGTCGGTATTTTGAAATAATTTTTTGTTCTTGTCAAAATTTTCCTGGTCCGCGACTTTTCCTGAATCCACCTACTCCAAGATATGTTCAACATTTAAACCTGATGGAATCCTATTATATTAGATATCTATTATCTTTTAACCTTTTAAAGTTAATATTTTACAGTGTAATGGCACAGTGAAACATCTTGATATTGAAGGCGGTCAAATTGGAGCCGTCGGAATGTCGCATCTGTCTGATCTGTTATATTATACTGATTTATTAGTAGAACTAGTGAGTATTTTATGGTTTATTAGTAAAATTGGTGAATATTTTATGATTTATTAGTAGAACTAATGAGTATTTTATTGTTTTCATATTAATGAAACTAGTGAGTATGTTTTATCTTCATTTAGATAAGACTAGTGACTGTACCAAGTCAGGAATATGACAGTTGTTATCCATTCGTTTGATGTGTTTGAGCTTTTGATGTTGCCATTTGATTAGGGACTTTCCTTTAAGAATTTTCCTCGGAGTTCAGTATTTTTGTGATTTTACTTTTTACATATACCATTGTTTTCAAATGAAAAAATTGACAAAAGTAACACCAACCAAAATATAGGTTCCAAAGTCAACATTTAGGAGATCCTAGTAATAATGGCCTCGACAGGACTATGTTGGTAAAGACATGCCATTGTTGGTCAAAACAGAGTGATGTTGGCCAAGCAAGAACACTAATAGCATAGGTAGAACAATAATGGCCTAGGGAGTGCGATGTTAGTCTAGAAAAAGCGATGGTAGTCATGACCAGACGATGTTGGCATGGACAGGGCGATGTTGATTTGGACAATACGATGCTGGTCAAAACAGGGCGATGTTGGCCAAGCTCTGACAAGGGTAATGTTAGTCAAATCAGGGCGATGTTTGCCTTGATATGGTATTAGGAGCAATGATAGTCAAAACGGGTGACGTTGGCTAGCTTGGGCGAGGGTCATGTTGGCATAGCTATGTCGAGTAAGATGAGGGTAAAGACAGTGTCCTCTCCTTTCAACTTTTTTGTTTATGATTGGCCGTTCCCTCCGATTTTTGAGGTATTCGTATTGTTGAATCTTTAGTTTTTCATTGTTTATATGATTTTATCGATTAATGTTTGTTTTCGTCTTTTTCATTTTTTGGCATTGTCTTACCTGCTTCGAAATTATGTTTCTCATTGCTCCTGGGTATCATTTCATTTCTATTTTATCATTTCAAAACGTAACAAGTGAGAAATATGACAGTTATTTTTTCATTCGTTCTATTGGTCGATGTTTTCTTACGTTTGATTTTGTCAGCGTAAATGTACGTCGGTCCCCCTTTTTTATTTACTGTATGCTGGATTTTTGTCAATTTGTTTTGCACATTTAAAAATATTCCTGAAAAAATTATCATGTAGGATTGGATAATTGCTTCAGAGAAAATTGTTTGAGCTTCAATTGTCTGATATGTAACTCTTGTTTGCCCTATACGGTTAAGGGATAGAGGTGGTCTGGATTGGGTGTATAGAATACAGAATAATCGAAAAAAACGAAAAGAACAGAGAAACCTAGTCAGAACGGTAAAGAAAGGAAAAAAATAACCCCAAATTTTAGAGAATACAGAGGCGAATACACCAAATCCATCACCTAAAGCCTTCTTTTTCCGGTCTATAGTACAATGATATATTTATAATTAGATGGTATTAAATTTAACTGTAATAAAATGTGGTTGTTCTTGTTATGTTTAGCACACGAGTTCACCCTAGTTTCCAATGGGAATTGTGTTGTTCAGTTTACGGGTTTTTTTACGTGTTATGTAGGCTGTTGTTTGTCTGTTCGTGCGTTTTCTTTTGACCATGACGTTGTATGTTTTTCTTCATGCACCTTATGATTTGTGATTATTTCCATGGATATCTTCTCCTTTTATCTATTTTTTTTTTATATCATATGAAAGATATTACACCGCATAGTCCTTTTACTAAGTGAACGATTATTTAACTTCAAGGGGCGGGGGGTTATGGTTTTTTCCTTAAAAGAATATTCTGACCCCCAATTTGAAGAGGAAAAAATGGTGTGGTCAAGTAGATGACAAAAAAAAACCATCTGAATCCAGATTTTGCCTATACCTTAAAGTGTTAAAATTTGAAGAAAAAAAAAATGCGTTGAAAAACTAAAAAAAAATAATCAATTGTATATTTTCAGAACCTTACAAAGAATGATATCGGTAGAGAAGCATTGATATTACTTGAAGAAGCTTTGGATAAAAATCTAAAGTTACTGGAACTAAATTTATCAGGTACATATTTCAAGTTGAATTTTAGATACGGGAACAATCACTTCAAGATTAACAAACTTTTTCTAGATTTTATTCATGTGTAAACTGTACCGATTAACTAACAAACGGAATAAAAGTACGGAAAACTTATGTGAAGTCTGTGAGTCACGGGCTCTGTTAAAATATCAAAAACATAGAAAAATGTGTTTAATCCTTATCATTATCAACCTAAGCATTTGTTATTTTTTTCTTTCAACATCAACTTTCTTGGAAACCCAGGATTCAATTCATGTGGATTGCGCATGAATATATCAAAGTGAAATCGACATAGTGTTACAAAAGTAGTTTCTGCAATAATTGTCTACCAAGGGAAAAACCAATGGACCAATCACACCGAAGTGTTTGGAGATACGCAAATCATATAAGACAAATTGTATATTACCATGATTAGATAAAAGTGCAATACATTAAATGTATTCGTAAAATAGAAAGACAAGAAACCAAACAAAAACAAAATTATTATAATCCAGAGTTATTAAAAAAAGTCAGGGGCCAGTTTCACGAAGCTTTCTTAGGACTAAGACATGTCTTAGGATGGTCTTACGACATTTCTTAGTCCTAAGTGGGTTTCACAAAGTGGTCCTAAATTAGGACATCTCTTAAAGTTGGTCATAAAGTTAGGACTACACGAGAGGTGTCTTATGATGGTCTTAGGATAGTTATAAGTTTATTTATATAAATAACGCTCATTTTATATATTAATTTAGAAAATTATCTTATTATTAGCTAATTATCTATTCTCCTTTTCCTGCTTATAACTACATGTAAATCTTTATAGGTTGACGAATTATAATGATTTGTCAACCATGAACATTCGATGTATTGATATCAAGAATGCACGATCTTTCCCTTTAACCTTATTATAACGGATACAGTAACAAATTGAATTGAACTCACTTGTACAAAAAAAGATGTCATCATTTTATTTCTTTTTTTTTCTTTTCTCAATTTTGTATTTAAAGTTTCATATGTATATCGGTGTATTATTTATAGATTATTTTTAAATAAATAAATTACACTTATTTTTTATATTAACTTTGCAAATTATCTAATTATATTAATCAATACGTTTAGTAATTTATGGGAAAGACATCCTACATTTACTTGTACGACTTTGCCAACCGCAGAGCTATAGAAAAACAGTACATTAACGGGTGTTACACGGACTCTTTTTAGTTAGAATATAGCAAAGTACTCTCGACCAATGAAATTGTAGAATTGGATGCCTCTTAATTGTGAAGAATGAATGTAAATCATGTTCTTAGTAAGGGATTATCCTATTATTTGGGTCTATTTTCAGTTCAAAACAAAGAGTTTCTATAAATGAGTTACAACTGCCCCGAAGCACATTTATCAGGTTGAAAGGATTTATCACACAGTGATTGAAACTGACTAAAAGTTGAATTGTGAAACAAAAAAAAATCTCAAAACAATTTTAAGTTTACTGGTGCAGTAAAATTGGTACCGTGAATTTTATTATGAAAAAAAATTATAACTTCAAATTACTATAAAATTAAACAATACCAAAGTAATGCAAAAAAAAAAAGAAAAAATAATCTTTCAGATAAAAAATAACCTAAATCTTTAGCTTTCCAAAACTTTGATTACTTGATCAGCGGTTGGGGAGAATAGTTATTTCCAATACATGTATTCCGAAAAAAAAACAGAAATTTAATTTTGAACATATTAAAAACTTTTAAGGGCATTATTTTTGAACATTTCCCTGACATAATGAAACAGTATTTGATATGTAAAAAGCCGGACCAAATTATTGGCTGTGAAATAAAATTTAGTTGTAACTCAAATGTATTAATTGATTTAAACTGTAAATAAAAAAGGATAATTCCTCACTAAAATATTACATGATTTACATTCATACTCACAATCAGGAAACATACAATTCCTACCTTTTCTTTCTACTGTTGTGTCACCTAATATCTATAACGCATTTAAAAAAAAAAAAAATTCCCAAATGATAAGAAAGTCCTCACATCACTAAAACTTATCCATAAATGACATGCCGAAAAAGGAAGTCATGCATCAATTATAAACATTGCACTGACAATGAAACTAATTTTTTAATAAAACCAATCAAGAGATCATTTGAGCCTTGAGCACTTTACAATATTCTAAGTTTGTAAGAGAATGATAATCCCTTTCATCATGATAAGTACTCGCTAACGCTCGTACTTATTCATGAAGAAAGGGATTATCATTCTCTTACATATACTTGTTACACGGACACTTTTTATGAATAGATTCACTCGTGCATGATCAGTGAGTTCATGGGCACTTTAACTTTCAATTAGATTTGAACTTTTTGGTTCACCGACATATTTCCTGTCTTTTTATTAAACAAAATATTTACGTTAGCATCAATATCTTTTTTCAAACATTTTCAGTAAAATACTATTCATATCAGTACACTAAGGGATTAGACATTTAACTTCAAAAAGGGGGGGGGGGGGGGGGTATGGTTTTCTCCTAAAAAAAGATATTTTGATCCCAAATTTTATGAGAAAAAATTTACTATGGTCAAGCAGATGACAAATTAATGTTCTGCATGATTCCTGATACCGTATAGTGCTAATTTAAACAAAAATATTTGGGTGATGGCGTTGAAAAGTAAAAAGTAAATATACTCAGAAAAGAACCGCCCCATTTATGAAGCGAAATAATCGGTCAATAAATGTTTTCTTCGATATATGGACATGAATAGTATTTTGGACAATGCTGAAAGTAAAGAAATGATGATACCGACGTTCATATTTCAATAAAAAAAGACAGGAAATAAGTAAATAAAAATCAAATCTTATCAAAAGTTGTACGACTTTGCCCCCCGCAGAGCTATAGAAAAACAGTACATTAACGGGTGTTACACGGACTCTTTTTAGATGATACACGGACTCTTTTTAGTTGTTACACGGACACTTTTTATGAATAGATTCACTCGTGCATGATCAGTGAGTTCATGGGCACTTTAACTTTTAATTAGATTTGAACTTTTTGGTTCACCGACATATTTCCTGTCTTTTTATTAAACAAAATATTTACGTTAGCATCAATATCTTTTTTCAAACATTTTCAGTAAAATACTATTCATATCAGTACACTAAGGGATTAGACATTTAACTTCAAAAAGAGGGGGGGGGGGTATGGTTTTCTCCTAAAAAAAAGATATTTTGATCCCAAATTTTATGAGAAAAAATTTACTATGGTCAAGCAGATGACAAATTAATGTTCTGCATGATTCCTGATTTTCCGAATACCGTATAGTGCTAATTTATACAAAAATATTTGGGTGATGGCGTTGAAAAGTAAATAGTTAATATACTCAGAAAAGAACATACCGCCCCATTTATGAAGCAAAATAATCGGTCAACAAATGTTTTCTTCGATATATGGACATGAATAGTATTTTGGACAGTGCTGAAAGTAAAGAAATGATGATACCGACGTTCATATTTCAATAAAAAAAGACAGGAAATAAGTAAATAAAAATCAAATCTTATCAAAAGATAAAATCCCTATCAACTCACCAATGCACGATTGATCCTATAAAAAAAAAAGTGTTCGTGTAATACACGTCCAAATAAGCAGCAAATCTAGAAGAAAATCATTCAACTTATGTCATCAATTTTGGACGGTAAGCTGCGATTGGACTATATAGTAACACGTGTTTAATCCCGATCAACACTTGCAGATCTAGAGACGAGCATGAATTTAAAAAAAAATCAAAGTATATGCCTGAATATATATAATATTATAAATAAGACAAAATCCATTTTTTCATAACATTTCATTCACTAATGAAGTAGGAAATTCATTCTTTTGATACATTTATATTGTTATTGAATTTATATATACATATATATCAGTTGCGGATCCAGCCATTTTAAAAAAGAGGGTTCCCAATCCAGGACAAAACAGGGGGGGGGGGGTCCAACTATATGTCCCCATTTAAATGTATTGATCGTTCAAAAAAGGGGTGTTACAACCCCCGGGACCCCCACCACTGAATATTGAATTCATGTATTTGGCAACAAACGTGCGATTTTTACGATTTTATTAAAGGGGAAATGGGGGGATGGAATGGCACATTCTGCATTTTTTCATCAAAATAAAGATCACAGCCTGTTTATTTCAAATTAAATTAGGCCCCCTCCCCGCTTTCCGTTTCATCCATAAAAATCAAACGTTAGCTTACTAACCACTAAAATATTTCTTTAATATATTACTTTTTTACGAAGTTGCATTTTAAAAAGTCTTAAATGTGTACAACATTCATCTTTTACTTGATATGGTTCTTTTTTATCAAATTATTAGATTCCTGATTTTTTTCTTGTAAAAAACTCTCGGTTGAAGGGAAATGAAAAAAAAAAGTGTGTTTATACTATAACTTACATTTACTGCTTTATGGCTATCTAAGTTTCTCAAATGTTTAGTCTTGCAAAATGTATTATTACTTTCTTGAAACGTCGTACAAGTCAGATACAAAACAAAAGTAACAAAAAAACAGGCCGGAAACAACCTGCCGTATAGTTTTTCTGCACTTGTAGTCAGGTCAAGGTCCTCGGCTATCGCCTCGGACCTTGACCTGACTACTCGTGCAGAAAAACTATCCGGCAACGGTTGTTACCGGCCTGTTTCTTTGTTACCTTTGTATTGTATCTAATACATAAAATCCCTATCAACTCACCAATGCACGATTGATCCTATAAAAAAAAGTGTTCGTGTAATACACGTCCAAATAAGCAGCAAATCTAGAAGAAAATCATTCAACTTATGTCATCAATTTTGGACGGTAAGCTGCGATTGGACCATATAGTAACACGTGTTTAATCCCGATCAACACTTGCAGATCTAGAGACGAGCATGAATTTAAAAAAAAAAATCAAAGTATATGCCTGAATATATATAATATTAAAACAAAATCCATTTTTTCATAACATTTCATTCACTAATGAAGTAGGAAATTCATTTTTTTGATACATTTATATTGTTATTGAATTTATATATACATATATATCAGTTGCGGATCCAGCCATTTTAAAAAAGGGGGTTCTCAATCCAGGACAAAACAGGGGAGGGGGTCCAACTATATGTCCCCATTTAAATGTATTGATCGTTCAAAAAAGGGGTGTTACAACCCCCGGGACCCCCACCACTGAATATTGAATTCATGTATTTGGCAACAAACGTGCGATTTTTACGATTTTTTTAAAGGGGGAATGGAGGGATGGAATGGCACATTCTGCATTTTTTCATCAAAATAAAGATCACAGCCTGTTTATTTTAAATTAAATTAGGCCCCCCTCCCCGCTTTCCGTTTCATCCATAAAAACCAAACGTTAGCTTACTTACCACTAAAATATTTCTTTAATATATTACTTTTTTACGAAGTTGCATTTTATAAAGTCTTAAATGTGTACAACATTCATCTTTTACTTGATATGGTTCTTTTTTTATCAAATTATTAGATTCCTGATTTTTTTCTTGAAAAAAACTCTCGGTTGAAGCGAAATGAAAAAAAAAAGTGTGTTTATACTATAACTTACATTTACTGCTTTATGGCTATCTAAGTTTCTCAAATGTTTAGTCTTGCAAAATGTATTATTACTTTCTTGAAACGTCGTACAAGTCAGATACAAAACAAAAGTAACAAAAAAACAGGCCGGAAACAACCTGCCGTATAGTTTTTCTGCACTTGCAGTCAGGTCAAGGTCCTCGGCTATCGCCTCGGACCTTGACCTGACTACTCGTGCAGAAAAACTATCCGGCAACGGTTGTTACCGGCCTGTTTCTTTGTTACCTTTGTATTGTATCTAATACATAAATTTTCCATAAATCCATGTTAAAATTTGAAAATTTAAAGAACTTGCGACATGTTTATGATATCTTTGCTAGAATAATCCTAAGACAGCTTCGAGGCGAAGTCTGAGATATGTCATACGATAGTCATAAGAGGATCATAAGACATGTCCTAAGATATATCTTATGACAGGTCTTAGGATAGCTCCGTGAAACCGGCCCCTTATATATAAAATTTAATTAATTTATCCGACTAACAAACGAAACTTTAATTATTTTTAATCTTCTATTTTTTTCTTTACAGATAACAATATTAATGGCAGTGATTGCGATATAATTAGACAGATAATGGAGGTAACAATTACTACATGTATAATTAAATATTGACACGAGTTTACAACATTCGGCACACCTCGGCAGATCTAACAGGGTAGCGGAATCTGCCGAGGTTTGCCGATTGGAGTTTAAAGTTCATAAACACTCTAGCAATAAAAAAATCAGAAAAGGGAGGGGTGAATTGTATACTATTGTATATTTGTCCATTCTTGCCAGGGGAATATACAAACAGTTTGTAAACGTAACAATATTCTTTAAATTATAATTTTAGGTGGGTCTCCCTTTTGTACTTAAGTTGTTATTTTTTTCTCGTCCTGTTTATGTATAAAATATTGGACACTGGACGTTAAGCAATCCTAAATCCATAAACTATTGTTTTAAAATTAAGTTGCTTAATAAATAAAAAAGTTTACTAGTTGCTTGCAACCATGGCATTTGGACTCATATGGTTAGTTGTCTCATTGCAATTATACCATTTCCCCCTTATTTTTGAATAATAAAAGACAAAATAAGATAAAACGAAATCGGCTCAACTATACTGGGTGCATGGACACAAGTCTAAGTCAAAGACACAAAGTCACTCTTTTACCTTAACTATTTTGCAAACTAATCTTCTACAAAGATTCGGGATGCGGGAAAACTTGGATAAAAATTAAAAAAAACGGGATTTGGGAAATGAGCACCATCGTGTAACCCTCCCCTCCCCCTTTCCCGCTCATAAGAGTATGCAAATCTGATAGTTCTAAAATTTACAAATCTTGTCATTAAAAGCCATTTCCAGTTGGTTTATATACCAAATGCAGTCAAGAAAGAGTTATTTGTTTTATTTTTTTTACGTCTATTTTAAGAAGCAGAGTCGAGTGTTGGTGTGGCTCTGTTAAACTTTCCAATTATTTGATGATTTCTGTTAGTATATAATGTGATTTTGACATCATTTTCAATTTGCTTGATAAATTAAGGTGCGCAATCTTGGCAGCTTTGTTTTTTTTTTTGATAATTCAAAAAGTATCTACCATGTATAGCAATGATATTTATTTATTTTTTATGTTTAGGGCGACAATATGTTACAGATATTAAATCTAAGTAACAACAGAATTTGCAACGTAGGCGGACAACACATTGCAAGAGGATTAGGTAAGACGACCATCTTCGCTATCCGTGATTATGATCCGGCCACGCCTCTTCACGTGAAGAGGAGGGACCGGATCGTAACCCTTGACTACCAAAATGTAGACAGTACTGCTGTAATCATTCAAAATATAAAGTTAAAAATATAAATAATTCTGCAATATCATTTCTAAGAATAGCACTTAATGTACTTGTTTGAAAAAAGAAACATTCTAACCATGAACATTATGAAAACGAATAAATAATTCTAAAATTTTGTTGAAACACAATATATTGTTTATCTAGTTAAACAATGATTTTTTTGGGGGTGGGGGAGGATTCACATGCATTCGACTTTTACTTATTGCTTGATATGAAATCATTTAAGTATATAATACATGTACCACGTTTGTTGATACACTACATTTGAACATAGTGTAGTACACTTAAGACTGTATAAAATGGAATAATCTACCAATGTTTCTTTGTTTTCACAGTGAAAAACGACAGGCTAAAAGTGCTGAATCTAAGTTGGAACAGAATAACAGGAAATGGAGCAGCTGCAATTGGCTATGCTTTGGCTAAAAACAGTGACCTTCAAGTTCTGAATATATCCTGGAACGGGTTTGAACATGGCGGTGCACACGCTTTAGCTCATGGCTTGAGCCAAAACACGTGTTTAAAGGAATTGGATATTAGTTCAAATAGAATCGGCCAATCAGGAGTGGCAAAATTGATGAAAGGTGTAAAAGAAAACACGACCCTCGAAGCTCTGAAGGTAATTTTTTGACAACCTTTGATTATGTCGTTTTCGCTGATTCTGGATGGGGTCTCTTCATTTCTATATTCTTTTTGTATGCCATTTTGTCTCTAATCTTTATCTTTTGCCCGTTATATTCTGTTCTTTTTATTTTAGCTTCCAACTATTCTCTATATTCTTTATTTTTTTGGTATTTTTATCTATAATAATTCTTTTTTTTGCCTTTAATTCTGTTTTTTTTCTCTCTCCCATCGTTCCCTATTCTGTAAAACCTATCCAGACCCTTATTTCTGTATCAATATTTCACTAAATATATGCAGAAGTTACTGCATTCTATATGTTATATATTAGCACGCCTTTTACGAATTAACTTATTTAATTCACGAAAAGCGTAACACCGCGCTTATTTCAACTTGCTATTAACTCACCGCAAACAAAGTTTTGCGGGAATGAACCTCTCCGTCTGTCCGCCTGTCTGTTTTTCCATTTACCTTGTAATCGCAACATCCTTCGAACTTCTAAATTGATATAAATGAAACTTTACACAGCTGTAGAACATTACAACTGAATATACTAGTTATCAAGGGGAGATAACTGAATGTACAGAATTCAGTATATAACAGCTCCTGTTCGTAGTTATCACACTCTCTGATCTATAATTCTATTATTATTTTATGATCTTTCAAGGATGCCTTTTGATGTCTTGATATGTTTTGTTTGATTGTATCGTTGATTTGTCGTCTCACTGACGTATACAAGGGTCTATGTAGGGTTTACAGAAAAGAAAATTAAGGGCCATCACTACAGTGAAAGGGTCGAATAAATAAAAAATAGAGAAAAATAATGCCAAAAATACGTCAATACATAACATACCTCTGTGTATTCCTTCGTTTATTACGCTGGAAATAAATCCCAAGCGAAAGTGTGTCAGATAATTTTTACACAAATGTATTTCTTTAGACAGACAGGAGTACACTGCCGGAAAAGATTCACTGTAACAACAATCACATGTTATTCTGTTAATTTTTAAATAAAAATCTTATTTATCCTATACTTATAGAAAATTATGGTATAATTGTACCCTTTGATAAAACTCATTTGTACATATATCTATTCATTAAATTTGAAGAATTGTCTTAGCCGTGTGATATAACTTTTGTTATTATATACTTAGTAGTAAATACAGATAAATTGTATGTGTAATACAATCATTGGCAAGAGTGCTGTATCAGCCACCCGTGATGATATCGATATCAGCACGGTTGCAAAGGCTTTATCACACCTTTAATATGTATGACGTCACGTCATCGATTGCAGTCACTGTTGCAAAGGCTTTATCAAACCCCTAATCTGTATGACGTCATGTCAAACCTATAATCTGTATGACGTCATTTCAAACCTCCTTACCTGTATGACGTCATGTCACATAAAAAACATCTACGTGAGGTATATGTATATAATAAAGTGTATATGATATGGCTTTTTCAATATCACACACCGTATCAACCCTCAACCAATATAATCCCTCGAGCAGAGCTCTTGGGATTATATTGGTGTCTCGGGTTGATACGGATGTGATATTGAAAAAGCCATATGATATTCTCTATTTACCAACTGCTTCCGGTATATATCAACTGCTTCTGGTTTATATCAACTGCTTCCGGTTAATATCGCATGCCTTTCTTTAACGGTATCGCAAAGCATTTCGAAGTCATTCTGCAAACTCTGGAAAATAAACCTCAGTGGTACATTTTAGTGAAAAACATAACTAAGTAGTATAAAAAACGAATAGTAGGAGACAGGAAAGTAAATCATTAAAAATGCAAAACAAATAATTGATTAAATGAATTTTATAAAGTTTGGAAAAGTTTTCTTGTCTGTATGGCTTCTGCTGAAGTGTATGATAAAAAGAACATAACATGTCATTTTTCGTATCAGACTCCTTATCAGCCCATGGTCAAAATCATCCCTCGAGCCTGTCGGCTCTCATGCTGATATCATGACCTAGGGCTGATAAGGGGTCTGATATGAAAAATGCCATGTTATAATCTATATTTATACACTGATTGTATATATGTATTTCTCTAATTCTTCGTCAATTTATCCCTTTTTACACCCATTGTATAAAAAAAATTTAATCAACGTGTGGTTCGTTTGATCTCAGTTCTTCATTGGTTAAAATCCGATTATGACGTCGAATTTTCTAGCTTTCCTCTGAATTTCCTATTGTGACGGCATGAAAAAAGGCGACCATGCCTGATGACGTCACATAGAAAGAACACATCTTTTTGCAGATCATTCGAAAAGAAGGAATACATTTGCCTGCGTATTGTTTGAAAATCATTAGAGAAACAGATTCCACCACCAAATCTCGTGTAATACAATATTAATCCACTATCAACAGTTAAATTTTTAAATATTAAAAACGCTCGGCGAGCCTCGCGTTTTAAATTTGAAAATTTAACTGTCTCGAGTGGATAAATATCGTATCACACTCGATGCAGTGGTAGAATCTATATATATGTATACATATATATATATATATATATATATATATATATATATATATATATATATATATATATATATCTTCGTGCATGACAACATTTTCACTTCTTTCTTACTTGTGCTAAATGTGATTGCACGCCGTATTCATTTAATAATTATTCAGTATATGAGATATATCTTAAATAATGAATAAATATACATAGGGCGTGCCTTGATTTAATAAAAGTAGTTGGAATTCGTTTTATAATGAAGAATGCAAAGATAAGAACACTCATTTTGTTTTGATAAACGGAGGAGCAGGACAAAAAGCTTGCCTTTTCTTAAAAAGATACTTATTAGGTGGACAGAGTTTTCATCTGTTCATATTTCTTTGCCTACCAACGTTCTTCTTTGGTTTTAAATCTGATACTAAACAACCGGTTTTTAAAAAAAATAATTTCCGTTTCAAAAATCACAAACAATTACGAATTAAGAATCAATTAATTATACAAGGCTATTCGATGAGCCGACATGCCTTAAAATTAGACAATTGCACGCAACCATTTTGGGAGTCATTCTCCATCTTAGATCGTAAAATAGCAGAAGACGATATGTCCAGATTGTTATGAAATAAGCAAATTTTGAGGGATGAATGAAGTGTCACCTAGCGTTTTTTTTAACTTATTTTTTATTTGCGAAAGGAAAATATCTTCAAGAATTTTATGATCTTGTACAAAATTTTTACTTGAAAAAAAGAATAAACCAAATTTAATATAACGTTACTTAGATGACTACTGCATTAATAAGTATGTTTTATGCTTGTTTTATTTAACAGATCGCTGACAACCCTATCAAAACATGTAGCACATTAATGGTCTTGTTGATAGTGGAAAAACACGAAAAGATATCCTTCTTGGATTTTGGCGTAAGTTTTTAATATGTAGAATATAGAAATATAATTGAAAACCAGAACAGTATGTAAAAGTCATAACCACAAAGTTAAAAAAAAAATAAGCACAAACGACAGTAATAGATTTGAATTAAAGCAAAATTTAATCATCAAAGGTCTTTGTCAAAGGATTATAATTGTTGTAAACAGAGATAAAAAATGGTTAGAAATCAATTAACAAATGACTGAGTGAGGACAAAAAGAAAATCGATTTTGCTAAGGCGAGTCACATATTAAATAAAACAAACAAAGCAACAAAAAACAACATAACAAAAGCATAATTCATAGATCTTCCATTAAAAAAAAAAACAACAACAAAACAAAAAACATAAAAATATCCAATAAAAACATTATATTTTTTTTCCATTTTCATCTGTTTCATTTTCCATCTGTTTAAACTGTATTTGTGTGAGTATGTACAATAATTTTTTAATTTTTTTCTTCTCAGAGTCAACCAGTGACTGAAGAGTTTGAACAGAAAGTTTCAAAAATCAGAAAAGACAAAAAACTGGTGGTCAAATACGGTAAAATTATCCGTGATACGAAAGCTAAGAAAATAGATGGGGATGACACAATGTATATCAGCGGAGATCCACTACTGGTTCTACTGGAATTCACCAGGATGAAGAAAATACATATATTGGACATGTTCCGAGCATTCGACCTAGATGACAGCCATTCTATAACATGGGAGGAATTCAGGCAGGGCATCGAGGTTGGTCAATACTATCTCTAAGATACACTTCTGACAAACTCACTTTTAAAAACACGAAACAATGGCCGCATCGAGCGGCTACGAGACGACGTTGCTGCTGTTTGGGAATTATTATGCTTGTGCCTACTACCTATCAGATTGTATTGTACTTTATAAATACGTACTGTAAGAAGGAGCTATTTTTTTAAAAGAAAATAATAGGTTTGCTAACTCCACTCAACCTTATTCTTGTTACAAGTTTAACCTATCTAAAACGTAAGCAGTGTTTTGCCGTATCATACACTACGTTAAAATGAAGCATCAGTTAGTGATCGGGTCTTGCATACCCATACTGTTATTGTACAACTTCTCCTGTCCGGGTGATGTTTAAAACTAAATATCCACACTGCAATTTGACATTTTCTCCTGTTCCCAACTATTTCATTCTAGCCACATCTAAATTCTCTCGCGATAGAAAGCCAAAGAAACAAATAACTAAGCGTAGCAACATATGAAAATGAATAGTCAATTCGAAAAAAATTCCTCCCCGTCCCCCAGAATATAAGACGGTCGTCCCCTAAGTATCTGCATATACAAACACGTACTCCTTGAGTGGAAAAAGAACTTAAAAAGGGGATCTGATATTTTATTTGTCTTTGTTATTTTGATCTATAAGTTTTTCATGTTTTGCAGCAAAACAAGTTACCAATAAGACCCTCCAACATAGACAAGCTAGTACAGAGTATTGATATGGATATGGATGGACAGGTAGACTTCAGGTTGGTCAATTCTAAGATAAGTTCAGAACTCGTTTTAGGGTCTGGTGTCATGTTTTCATTTCTGTATAAAATTTGCTAGGTCATTTTTTATATATTCATTATTTTTTTCCATTATTCTGTTTTCTTTATTTTTTTCCATTTTTTTTCTCTATTCTTTATATTTTTGGCCTAATATTCTCTATTCTGTGATTCCTCATCTAGACCCACTTTTATACCCATTGCGGTAAAATAAATTTTAACTCCAGAATTGCTACAAGGCACAGCACAATCTTTTCTTGGGGTAGAAAATCCTTAGTAATTCTAACAGCTCAAAGTTTTGTTTTTCGGCGATATAGCATCTTTGTGCTAAGGCGATGTAAAGCAATCAACAATCAATCAATCAAGGTTGAAAACAGTGAATTTATAGATATGACAATACAAGGAAAATGACGACGTTAGTATACGTCTAGACTTGTCACAGGGAAAAAAATCAAAAGCAAACAATTCTTTGGGGTCCATTAAAATGACATTTCTTTTTTCTTTCAGTGAACTGGTTATTTCCCAGAAAGCACATAAAAGAAAAGTAGAGAAATTGACAGCCAGCGGAGAGGATGTTTTCAATAAAAGTGCAATTGGAATTGTAAACGAACGACTAAGGAAGTGGTTCGATGATCATCATTTCGTTTTGAAAGATAAATCGTTCACTGAGGCCGTTTCCTAAAATGTATACATTATATTTAAATGGGTATACATGAAATAGTCATACATGTACATCAAATGCTGATTCAATCCATTATCGTCCATATGTATACAGGGGCGGATCCATCCATTTTTAAAAGGGGTTTCAACCCAGGATAAAAGGGGGTTCCAACCATATGTCTCCATTCAAATTCATTGATCGTCAACAAAAGGGGGGGTTCCAAACCCCCCGAAACCTCCCCCAACCCCCCTTTGGATCCGCAACTGTGTATAGGATGAGATTCATACGTCGACATAGTATTCTTACAAAGACAATGGTGCTATTGAATTCATATTTGATAAATATCTGAAAAGTATTTATTATATTTCAGTATGTATGTTTCTTTATTAAAAAAAAATATAATATAATTGTGTGCTTTTCAATACCACAGACTACTTGCCTGTCAATATATAGTTTCAAAGACTCTTTCCCTTGTCAATAGCTTTGCAATCATATTTCCCAACCTTTATATATTTATTTTTTCATTGGACAAAAATTATGTCATTAAAGGGAAAATTCGCGATTTTTTACTTTTCATCTTATTATGTTCATAATACCATAAAAAACATATTTACCAAGTTTTATCTGGATATGAACACTAATAAAGAAGAAAATTGGGAATTAATAATTTAATTTATTCCAACTTCCTGACTTATGTGACGTAGTTTAAGTCTTTTTGCATGCCGGGAGTGAATAAATCTCGATGTAAGTCTTGTTCGTTAATCATCTAATAACGCGATTTAAAGCGCATCGACGACTTTTGGCGTAGCTATTAACCAACTAATAATTAAGAAAGTAAAGTGATCCGCCGTGCAACTTTCAAAATTAAAGTGTACAATTTATATTTAAAGGATTTCTGATATGATTATAGTAATAAAAGTAAATCATACAATAGAATATATTTTCATGAATTTTTTTTCCGACGGATATTTTGAACAAATATATATAACTGATATTGTTTTACAAATGCATGTTTGTATTCTCACCTGAAGGCTTTTACTTCAGTCGAGTACTGTGTAAATACAATGTGTATTGTACTGTGACACTAAGTGACCACCTGTTGAATGCGTGGTTAAATTCAAGGTAATTAAAAGATTAGCATTCTGTAATTCTATTCTTTTGATCTTCACTCGGTGAATTTTAGCCAACACGGTTCACCGTTACGGGTGTGAACAACATTTCGTATGAATGATAAAAACATTAATTATTTGGGGAGGAATATGGTGGCAAAATACCTGAATCGCCGTTATATACATGTATATCTTTTATATTTTGCGTAAGCTTAATTTTAAAATAGATAGGTGAGTATTTTGTTGTAACATCGAAATTCTGAATTACTTTCAATTAAATAATTTTACAAATAAAAATGGCCCACGAAAACGAGCGTATAAACCAAACACTGTACTTACTTTTTCAAATTATCGTGGGTATTAACCGTGAATATTTCAATGTTTAGAGAAAATTATCGCGGTTACATGATTAATATAGCTTGGTCCGTCCACAGCGATCTACATTTACCTAATCGGGAATGCCCTTATTAAAATATTTTAAAATCTCACAACGTATACATACTTTAGCTATTTGACCAACGATGTTTAAAAAAAATAACAGAATCAATCTAACGTCAACTTTCCTTTTTTGAATGGAGACAGACCGGAGGAATCAATTTTTTCAATGTGCTTTATATCTTGTACCTTTGCAAGACTTATCATTCATTCATAAACCCACTTTATACCAGAGACATATATGTCAGTCTTAACTGACAAGAATACACCTAAAGCGGACAAGCAGTATTTTCTTTAAGTTTCTGTGATTTAATACCAAGAAAGAAAAAAATCCCGAAATTAATTTGATACTTTGATACTCAATATTTTTCCTGGAAAATATTCATATCCTCGTTTGGTCTGAAAATAAGATAAGAATTTGGTATACAGAACATGCAGAAGTGTGAATGTCATAAAACCTTGTTATATCAGAAACCATTATAAATGTGAACCTGTATACGCAAGACCTCATGGGACGTCACCTAACCACATACAGGTAATATACAAGTAGCTCTGTTATACCCGGAAATGTCAAGGTAAATCACTACCGATACAGAATGTACCAATGCAAAGAAAATTCTGATGATTGTGAAGCATGACCATTCATGATTTTAGAGGAGTCTTAGGTGGAAATTGCCGGTACGATTTAAATTCTGACTTTATTTTTTTCTCTCAATTTAAATCACTGAACTTAAAAAAAAAAGAAACATACGCCCAAGATCAGAATTCTTCATGTAAATTCATAAATACAACGTTCTTATTTTGTAACTTTCGATATACTTCACCCCCAACCACCGCCCCCTCCCAACCTGGGAACAGTATATCTAACATAACAATGTTTGTGTACCTGCCCAAATAAAAAAAAAAATGAAAAAAGAAAGAGATGAACGGTAAGTCACATCAGATTCAAATATTTATATGGTTGATTGTCGTTAACTAGAGATGTAAAGTTACATGTCTCTGCGTTAACTTGTAAGAATGACAGGAAAGTATATACTTGAAATAGATTTATGATGAATAATATGCAACTGCAGCACCCCTTTTTATCAAAGTGTACATGCATGTATTTTAATGACTGTCCGTTATTTCGATTAAGAATGACAAGTGTACGTGAAATTCTATAGTTGCCAGTGAGACTTTTTTTTTACCAGATATGCGACTTTTCGTATTTATATTTTCTCTTATATTACTCTCATTTAATATTTTATGCATAAGTGCAATATTAGGAATGGTTTACCCCCCATCCCTATTAAGCTAACTAAATAAATTAATCAACCTTCTAGCTGACCAGACGTTAACACATCTACTATCAGTCAATTCGGAGTGAAGTTTCTTTATTTCTTCAAATAAGCTTTTTGGGGATCATTAGTGTACGTCCAGTGGCATATATATTACATGCATGTCGGAACAGGAAAATTGACATGAGGTATAATAGAACCATGTTCACATTATTACATTATTATATATAATACACAACCATTGAGATGATGACGACTTTCTTAAACTGTTCAAAATAATCTTATGGAAATAAAAATCTGTGATTTTACTATGTGCATAACTTTGATGAACCAAAGCAAGTTAGATATACATAAATAAAATAAATAAAATAAATAAAATAAATAAAATAAATAAAATAAATAAAATAAATAATTATTTATTATAGTGTCACATATTTGATCAAACAATATATATATACAACAATTCATAATAAAAACAGAGATCAAATATCCAGCCTCATAATAGACTTATGAGACACTTAGATATCGACCTGTATTTAAATCAGATTGGTTTTGGATGTTTCTTTCGTATATTCAATATACATGTATATATTCTAAATTGCGACTATCTATAGTTCCGTAACCTTCTATCTAGGCGTATAATCCAATGATCGACAAGTGCGTACATTTTGTTAAATCAATATTTGTACGTTTCAAAATGTCCATAATTATTGACAACGAGTAATTACTTACATTTTCCCCAATTTACGTTTGGAAAATATGTAAATATATTTTTATTTTATCAAATCTTTTTTTGGAATTATTTAGATTTTGATAAATGTTCTTTACACCATAAATGTTATTTATAAACAAGCGTATGAGTTTAGTCATATATATAATGGCTATTATATCTATGGTTTAGTAAAGACTAGCATATCACTATCGGACACGCAAGACAAAGATGTATATTCACCTGATAGTTTCAAAATGGAAAGTTACAAGTTATCGGCCGTGTACACTTCTCAATACCCTCAGAGGTGAAGTGATGCACGAACTTGCTTTATGTAATTGTGTAATAAGAGTTTAAAAGCCCGACAGGAAATCGCTTGAATACCTGGACGTGTCAACTCACAATACCTCTGGGAACAATTCCTTTAGCAATGCTGGTGATCAGATAAGGGAAGGTCCGAATTTATTTAAATAAGATTATTACATAAATGAATTATGAACACACTAGATTTTCGAAAACATTTTTACACGGAACACTTAATTTATCACTTTGAACTTTTTAACTAATTTCCATTAACATTTCTTGTTTCAAAAACTTAGTAAAAAAAACCAGTTTCAAAACGACAGACCATAGTACTAGTTATTCAAAAAAAATTATATATAATTACATTTTCTGTATCAAGTTAGTTAGGAAAGGTTGCATGCACAACCATGTCTATTATAATCTTTTTGTGTGACCCGGGAAACTGTTTAGGCTTTCCTTGTCGGGTAAAACAACCGTACGCTTGACAAGATATCGACACTCAATTACGGCTACGTTAGGTTACTGCTTGTTTTGGTCCTTTGTGGTTTATAGATATATCGTGGTTTCTATTCAGGGATGATGCCAAAATGGCCGCACGCGGAGAAGTGATACTCTAAATTTAAAATCGATGGTGATCTCTTATCTAGCAGAATTAAACTTTAATATTTATGAATTTGTGGTTTTTTATACATAATCAACATAATATCAATTTTTCATTTTTTTGCGAAGTTTCCCTTTAAGTATTCGTGTTGTTTTGCCTTTTTGCATCGTGTTGTAAAACACTGAAATATCAAAAAGTCAAAGAAAGCAGAGAACTTCATGGCCAAAAGAATAAAAAACGAACAGATATTCAACAGTCCACAAAAAAAAAGATTGAGCAACATGTAGCTCCCAAAAACCGGGTTGAACTCCGGGTTGCTCCGGAAGAAACAGCGGTTTCTGTTTCACTAGTAGCACCCCTTATGCTGTATTTGTTAACATTGATCAATTGATAAGCATACTGATTAGTCATCACAAGGATATCAGTGCTGTCAACCTTGCGTTTGTTCTCTTTGTCTAGTAAGTACTGTGACATTTTTTTGTTCATTACTGTGACATTGCTTTTGTTCAGTACTTTGAAATTGTTTTTGTTCAGTACTATGACATTGTCTTTGTTCATAACTGTGACCTTTCTTTGTTCATTACTGTGACATTGTCTTTGTTCAGTGCGGTGACATTGTCTTTGTTCAGTGCGGTGACATTGTCTTTGTTCGGTACTGTGGCATTGGTTTTGTTCAGTACTATGACATTGTCTTTGTTCATAACTGTGACCTTTCTTTGTTCATTACTGTGACATTGTCTTTTTACAGTGCGGTGACATTGTCTTTGTTCAGTGCGGTGACATTGTCTTTGTTCGGTACTGTGGCATTTGATTTGTTCAGTACTATTGTATTCTCTTGTTCGGTACTGTGACATTGTCATTTTCCAGTACGAAAGTTAGATTGCTACTGGGAAATGAAGGCATCTAAGGGAGCAACCATTTAACTTCAAAGGGGAGAGGGGGGGGGGGGGGGGTAATGGTTTTTTTGTCTGAGTCAGGAAATGTTTTAACACTATAAGGTATGGGGAAAATCTGGATTCAGAATATTTTTTTTTGTCATCTGCTTGAACACAATATTTTTTTCCATCAAATTGGGATCAGAATATATTTTTAGGAAAAAACCATAACCCCACCCCCTTGAAGTTAAATGGTCGTTCCCTAAGTCAGAAGACATTTGTTCTTACAACTGGCATACGCAAGACCTTTAACATGGAAAGAGTTCATGGACAAAATCAGTTTGAGCGTAACAAAAATAGTTTGTAAAACATACTATGGTTCATAATACAGGAGGGTCTGGATGGGGGTCCTTTATTTCTGTATTCTTCATATCTTTTTTGGCCATTTTTCTCTAATCTTTATAATGTTTGCCCATTATTTTCTATTCTGTAAACCCCTATTCACACCCTGATACAGGCAGCATACCTCATTTTCGTAACCGCTTTACGGATTTACACGTGTTGGAATTAACATTAAACATAATCGTTTGTCAGTTGCATAAATGGTATGTTTAATCTGGAATATAGCTATATATGGATTATAAGATAAAGAAACCTAATAATACGGCGAGAAAAAAAATGATATAACTGCTGAAACCATATCAGTGGATGTTATGTTAAAGAGGGATAGGATTCCAAATTTATACATATTTAGTATTGATCCATTACAATTTGATAAGTCATTAAATACAGTTGAAACTTGACTCCGCGTTTCATTTGAAGTATGAAACGTTTAACGCTTTTGCATTAAAAACAAATGCTTTCAATGTTTTATCGAAATTTGAAGTTTGATAACTTCGGCTATTTCTTGTGTTTGTATGTTGTCGAAAGCAATATATTGTTTTTAATTTAATTTGATATTAGATATTTGTCCCGAAAACTCACATCCACTTCCATCAGTGTCTTACAATCCTTGAGCCATTAACAAACATATTTAATTTTAAGCATGGAAGTCGGTCCTAAGGTATCATCATGTTACAAAGCAAGATCCTGTCAATCAGCTGCATAATAATGTATGGTCCTATATTGACCAATCAGAATACATCAAAACATAGCTATACACTTTACTAATAATGTAAACAATCAATATCACACAACCACCAAGTATGCCAATAGTCCGTCATATACAAATCCCTTTTTCGTGTACATGTCATTAGATTGCTATATACATGTATTACTCCTACACTACAGAACACTGCAGACAGAACATTCCCTGAAAATAACGTGCGCACGAGTTTGAATCGTAGCAACTCGATCATTTCCGTTTTATAGTGTATTTCTGACATTTAGCAGATCAACCTAGGCTAGGGATCGAAATAACTGTTAAGCCTCTGCTACGATTAAACGAATAATTTTTAAAATATTCTAAACTTCTAAGTAACACAGATTATCTTAATTCTGTTCACATTAATGCTTAAAAACACTGACTAAACTAGCAATTCTAAACGCATTACTGATTAAACTAACTTTCCCTAACTCAAGTCTATTCCAATTAAAATAAAAAGTATAAACGATTATTATTTTTACTGTATCCATCTGCCAGGATTTTTATAAACTATTTTTTTTTCACTTACAATATATCAGCAAGTTTATCTATATAGCGACCCTATTCTCGAATCGTATACACTTTTGTTTCAAGACAAAGTAGAACTTGTACGTTTCAGTCACTATTCTGTTCATATCTTTGTTTTATGCTTACAAGCGTTTCTCGTACTTTGCTTCCAAAGTTGTGGTCCGGAACGTATCAGAAGCACGTACATATATATAAACATTTAGTTAATGATAACAGCAATCTGATTAAAATCATATGTTGTGATACGCTCCCTTGGCATGACCATTATTACCACTCGTGTGTAATATTATGATACGAATTAATGAGGTGGTGGCATACCTTAATGAAAAAATGGAACAAAAAATATATATTTAACAGGCCAACATTGGGTCGTTAGTGTTCAACCTGTGGCCCTTAACAATAATAAAAGTATCCGTACCATATATATGTCATGTTTTACGGACGCCATTATGAAATGACTGACCGTTATGAAATACATGTGTCACAGATGACAATAAATATGTTCTTCTATGTGTCGTAGCCACAATACCGACCTCTTATCTTTTTAATTTGTAACCGATTTGTAATTGCTATTAGCAACACGAAGTATGCTAGTAAAGCTGTAACTCACTACCCTTACAGGGAGACAGCTCATTTTTTTTTCGTCGTTTTTCCCTTAGTCTTAGTGTTGTCTGTTTTTCTTCAACTGATGCTTTTTGACTTTATCTGGAGTTTGGTTACGCATGTACTAAACACGTTCAGTTATTAGAAAGAAAAGCATATAACAATCAGGAGATGTGGTAGGATTGCCAAACTATCCACTAATTATTTAATGAATTGAATGTAAGCAATCATAGGCAACCGTACGGCCTTCGACAATAAAAAAATTCCATATGAAAGGCCCCGACGTGAACAATATGAAACAATTCAATTGAGAAAACCAAAAGGCTTAATTCATTTCAAAACAATTTATTATTTCTTATTATTGAACAACAAATTCATTAAAAACACCATAAACTATAATATTAAAGTGTTAGTTGGCTTGTCTCGTGAGGATATACGCTTACCCCCAAGGTATAGTACCATCTGTGCTACATGTAAGCGTTAATTTGCCTTTACCTGTTATACAAGGTGGCTTTCACTACTAGGCTACTCAGGTCCCAAATCGTTCCGCTGAGAGTGATACGCTCGAAGAAGAGGCTGAGTGCAGCCATCTATGATCTTTGTGTCATGTATTCATTCGGACTCCTCGACGCTGTACCTGTTTTATGTCGACAGCCTGACGAAACCTCTTAGTTAGTTCTACAGTGCAATTACACAACAATATAGATGAAGGTCTGGATAACGTTTACAGAATAGAGAATAGTTGGTAATATGTTGGAATGAAGGAAACACGTATAAAGAATAGAGAAAAATAGGTAAAAAAAATACAGAATAGAGAATAATATATAGGGTGCTAAAATATAAAGAATAGAAAATAACATGCAAAATTTAGAAAGAAAAGAGAAAAATGGCCTAAATATAAGATAACTGAAATGATGGATCCCCCTCCCCCCTAATCATAGAGGAAAAAGATTACAAAAAACCCTATCAGAGAATGTTCGCTATTACTGAATCAAAATTATTTTCAAAGGGGGAGGGGGAGAGGGTAGAACCGAGAATTGAACACGGACTGTGGTGCACTGGTTGAGTTTGGTCTGAACTAGACTGTAGAAATTGAGAATCTCCATGAAAGAAAATATTTTGGTGCATTTAAATTTTATAATCTCTTCATTAATCCTTTCAACATGCACCTCAATTAATCGGTTTCATTGTTCTTGTCTTATATACAAAGTTAAACTACTGGAGATTAGCAAACAAAGATTAAAAGATCACATTTAAGGTTACAAACTTAAAACATTGGTGTTATAATGAAGTGACGTTCTCCATTTTGACGTACATTATAATTTTGAAAATGGAGTTTTATTAATTATATAGACGATATTTTACAATACTCGACAAACCTTGGGATTTAAAAGATGATTAGTCGACGTGCATCACCCGGTATCAGCCTAGGAGCGGACAATCATGGACGTCTATTTGAAGTAAGTGATACTGTTGCTCTTAAGTTTAGTCCTCATAGTCTCAGCTAATATATGAACGCCTTATTTAGGTCACTATCAATCCTTTTATTGCGTCTTCTAGTATTAACAAAGTATAAGCATGGATATAAAAAAGAAAATGTGGTATTATTGCCAATGATAAAACTCTTCACAAGAGACCAAATGACACAGAAATTAACAACTATATAGGTCACCGTACGGCCTTCAACAATAAGCAAAGCCCATACCGCATAGTCAGCTATAAAAGGATGCCTATTTGAGGATGTGAATGTGGATTTGTCATTTCATTATTTTTTTAATTAATTTTTAAGCCATTTTTCACTATTCTTTATCTTTTAATATACTTTTATCTGTTTCTAATATCTTAGTACCCCGTTACTTTTTGTTGTTCTCTGTATTGTTGATATTTTTTTCGGTCACAGTTTCTCTCTCTCTTTTTTTTCCCAAATGACAAAAAGGATAAAATTTCCCATTTAAGGGCAATGACAAACGACAATTTCATCTATGCTGATTTATTTACAGGTCTTGTCTAGCTGAGCTTTTTTGCTACTTAAAGTGTATAATTTTCAAGATTATAGATATGTTCTATTTTTCCCCATGTATGTCTTATTGGTTGGCATTTTTTTTTTTTTAAACTAGACACCCAAAGATAATTGTGGAAAAGTTTGGTTAAACTTGACCGAGTAGTTTCAGAGATTTTTTTGTTGTTGTAAAAAATAACAGACGATGGACGACGACGGAAACCGGACGACGACGCCAGACGCCGGGCGTCAAGTGACGAGAAAAGCTCATTTGGCCTTATTTGTCAGGAAAGTTAAAAAAGGGGTTCTAGTGTAATTACAACAAATATAGCCGAATAGGGTCTAATTTAACAAAACGAATGCAACACCAATCTTCATTAATCATCGTACTTGGATCGAGATTAGATAGCTATCTATCTGTTCGTGGTGCAGAAACATTACCGTTACTGTTATTACTATCATACTATATTATTTTTTTCTTCATAAGCTTAAGAAATGTATCCAAATAAATACCCATTACGAGTAGTAACTCAATATATATATCCAGGTTTGAGTATGAATTTCTTTTAAACGACATTAGAATATAAAATGAAAACAAAATAAAAATTGTTTTTTTTTAAGAAATCAGTTCGAGAACGAAACTTGAAGAAAACTAAACCTGGAGTACTAGCTGCACAATACAGACTCAATGTTCCTGCTACAAAAACATCCCAGTCAAGTAAAATACTTAGGCCAAAGAAACATGACATGGTTCAGATGGTCCGAGACGAAGTCGAGGATAGTAATGTTTTCGATGTACCGAAAAAAGAAGAGAGAGAAGTTAAAGAAATTAGGCTGCTTAATTTAGACGACTCTGATTTTTCAGATGAGGAAGGTAAGATAAGGATGACCGCTACTCTTGTTTTTGACGTTTTGTCAGATATTCGGAATCCTCTAGTTTTATCCACTTAATGCCATTAAATATTTTGTCCGCTAACCCTTACTTTATCTCTTTTATTACGTGTAGTGTAAAATGCTATATCTCTTGCACGTAAAAGACACCCTTGTAGATTTCGAAAAATGACAGGCTAATGCCGACACAAGGCAGCACTCGCACCAGCAAAGTGGAAAGGGATTAATATAAGTTGTAATAACTTGTTTCCCAATCCACTAAAAATAAATATGTTTAATCTAAATGCTATTTTTGAAAATCTTATAAAATCCTTACTTTTTCATAGTTTTTGAAAGAAAAAAACAAGTTAATGTTAAATCATTCCCCGCCAAATTTTGAATGGATTATATCTCAAAAACTAGAACCTGTCCATTTTTTCTACTTTTTAAGTTCAGTTATGTATATACTATCAATTTATAACAGTCTTTTAAAAAGCTTGTTATTTTCAAACAGTGGTGCGAACATCCTTAATTTGGTTTTAAATACTTCATCCTCCGAGGAAAAAAGGAAAAGAAGGAGGTATGATAAGTGCAATTTGGCCCCTTGGGTTCATAAGTCCAATTAATTAACAAACTCTTTTAAGTTGGAATCATAAGCCATCAGTAAACAAAAATGTATTTTAATTTTGTCTTTCTGATTTTCTTTCTTGAGATAGCGTGTTTAGGAATTAGTTTTTATAGTCACTTATATACAAGAAAGACTCTATAAAATAGTCATTTGTTTTGTATTTTATGTTCAGATGAACTTGAGCTATATTTCATGAGTCAACGGCCAAAAGAGAAGATGTCTCAAAAACTTTATAAAGAGGCTTGTAAGACATTACAGATCACGCCGATGCAAATGTTTCATAAAGCTTTGGACACAGATGAAATCCGAGTTATCGGAGTGACGATGAAACCAAAAGATACAAAGGCGTGTGCAATAGCTCTTTGTGTAAGTATAACTTTTGATCTAAAACAATTTAGGAAGTGCATGGGTGAGGTAAAAACTCTGGTAACTGGAACACCAACCCGACAAAAGTTGATAATAATAATAAACATTTATAGTAACATTTACGGTACAAGTTTAACTGCATCAAATGGTCATTTCGATAATTATAATGTCTCTTAAGTGATGCTCGAGACCAAAATATTTGAATAATTAAATCAATCAATCAATCAATCAATCAATCAATCAATCAATCAATCAATCAATCAATCAATCAATCAATCAATCAATCTATCTATCTATCAATCAACCAATCAATCAATCAATCAATCAAGTGATCAATCGTTTAATCAAGTTATACATCAATCCTTAACTTCCATTCCGAAAAACTCTTTATCATGGGACGCGATGGATTCGTGATTGTAGCACCATGGTATAACTTGGTTTCGTATAAAATGTACTGTGGTGTACTGAACTAACGCTATCGTCAATAAATCAATCATTTCAGCGAGACAGTGAAGTAGAGAAGCTGACATTTGACGGGAATGATCTAGGAAGCAGTGGTGCTATGTATATTGCTGATGTGGTGGACAGGAACACATACTTGATAGAATTAGTAAGTGGAAAGAAGCAAACAAGCTTCTTATTCTTATGGAATGCACATTTATTTAGTTGTTGTACCCACATGCGCTAGGGGGAAATAGCTCCATTTTTCTAAATATTTTATATCGATTTTGTAAATGAATTATCTTTAATATTTTAACATATTTTCACCTAATGTGTTCTAACAGTTATCGATACTATGTTACACTAACAGTTATCGATACTATGTTACACTAACAGTTACTGTAGTATATATATATATATATATATATATATATATATATGTATGATGCTCTTTTATTCTAATTCTACATTGGCTAGAGGTATAGAGGAGGGTGTTGAGATCTCACAAAACATGTTAAACCCCGCTGCATTTTTGCGCTTGTTCCAAGTCAGAAGCCTCTATCCTTTGTTAGTCTTGTAAGTTTTTTAATTTTAGTTCATTTATATGTTTTTGAGTTTGGTGTGACGTCCATTTAAATTAAACTAGTACACATTTTGTTTAGGGGCCAGGTGAAGCACGCCTCCGGGTGTGATATTTTCTTGCTGTGTTGAAAACCTATTGGTGGCCTTCGGCTGTTTTCTGCTCTTTGGTCGGGTTGTTGTCTCTTTGACATATTCTCCATTTCCATTCTCAATTTTATTATTTTCGAGGGGCATCGTTATATATAGTGTTATTGTTATATCGTATGAATAAGAGCAATAACACAGTAATAAGTATAGGTTAAAAACATATATAAGTCACTACTAACTTGGAACTGTCACGTTGGAAGAAAACATACTAACTTAAAATTAACAGCGCCGATCGCGAACTATTTACATTGAAAACATTTTTAAATCAGAAAGATGTATAAAGCAGAAAATTGCACATTAATCATATTAGGAAAATTAATGTATGAAAATCAAAAGAAAGTTTTCTTCGACTTAAAGAGTTATAACAGAGAGTAAAAACATCAGAAGATGTGGTATAATGGCCAATGAGACAAAGACCAAATGACATAGAAGTTAACAAATATAGGTCACCGTACGTCCTTCAACAACGACCAAAACCCATACCGCATAGTCAGCTATAAAAGGCCTCGAAATGACAAAAGTTTCACAATTAAAACGAGAAAACGACTTGCCCGATTTAGGTAACAAAAACAATGAACGTGCTTACATGTTGCTTGATCTTTCTATCTTTGTTCCAGAGTATTACAGAAAACAATATTGGAAAACAAGGTGCTGAAGCTATATGTGAAGCGTTGAAGAATAATAATTACCTGAGAAAGTTAGATTTATCAGGTGAGCAGAAAATCAGTACACAATTCAGAGGCGGATCTATATAGGGGGGGGGGGGGGGTCCGGGGTTCGAACCCCCTTTTTGACGATCATTGCTTTTGAATGGGGGACATATGGTTGGAAATCCCCTTTTGAAAATGGCTAGATCCGCCCCTGCAATTATTACATACTGCAGAGTCACCTATAGTTACCCGAAATTTTCAATCAAAACCAAATTTATTTATAAACCCCTAAACAGTACTAAAAAATAAAACATCAGAAGGCTTTTGGGTAGTTCTAAACAAGAAAAGAAACTCTTTTATAGGTTAGCATAAAAGCAAAGCATCACATACTGGTCTAAGTTTATTCGACCGGCCGCATCATACTAATATATTGAAGACAACAGACCAACATGGCTTAAAATTGTTAATATAAATGTAAGAATAAATGAAGTAAACGTCAATTAAACGGCAACCCAACACTACAAGAAGAAAGTGTCGATACAGGAACATAGCTACTGAATTCTGAGCTTAATATCTTGATTTGCATAAGGAATATATGCGGGTTTGGATGGGGGTTTACAGAGAAAAGAATAACGTGCAAAATGTATAAAGAATAGAGAAAAATGGACTAAAAAATTTAAGAAATGAAGGGCCCCATCCACATCCTCATATTATCTTTACTACTAAAGGAAGAGTCCGATGTTATTGAGCAGTAACTCCTCTGAAACCATACAAAGTAGGAAATATTTGTGATAAGACGTATTTATAAATGTAGTCTTTTGTACTTCTTTAATTTGTTTTTGAAATAATCTTTTTTACACAGAAAACGCCCATTTTTGAGAAAATATTTAAATTCGGAGACGTTTATCGATCCGTGTCTTATACGCTTTCGCGCATGCTGAGTCGACGTACTGCCCGCGAAATCTATAATACTAAAGTCCAATTTGTTAGCCGTCATGATGTAAATACGGCGTATCAAAGATTTCAATGTTAAAAATTACACCATTCCAGGGTCTTTTTTTCCATAAAATTATATTACCAATGATTAACAAGTTCCGGGTCGAATCCGATACCGATACCAATAGTATATGTCTTCTTCTTCTCTTAGTTAATTTCTCCGTTGTCGGAGCACCTTTGTCACACGGGTATAAAAATACTTTTCTTAATTTTAATACTACTTATTTGAAAATAAAACAGTAAGAACTTAAATACTAAAACAAAGAGGTATATGCATTCCTTCATAAAATATTATTGTCCTAAAAATATAGAGAAATGCAAAAACCGTATTCGAATACTATTTACATATATTAGTGCAAGTGAATTAAAAACCAGTCTATACATAAGGCGTACTGCAGGTCATGGATCCGCGATGTCGCGGGCGTGTTCTAGTTTATACATAAAAATGGAAAGGGACTAAAGGGAGATCATTGGTAGTCTTTAATTAATTTCTTCTCCGGAATCACAATTTATTATTTTTGTCTTAAGTCTTAAACGATTTTTTACATTTTCACAAGATAATGAAACTAGTACATTTATATAATAAATGTATCAAATGATTAACGAGCAATATGAGAAGAAGCCGACACCTTTTTATTGAAATAATTATAGGCTTGAATAATTAAGCTATACTATTTGTTAGTACAACAATTTTCAAATATCTTTTTAAATATCTCGAGAACAAATTGTATTGATCGAATACAATGCAAAACACAAACAAGTTAAATAGAATTAAACCTATTCTGTGGATATACCTCTCACCTTTGGTATCTTCGGGTTCATTGTAGTAAAAACCTCATTTTAAATTGTGTACAAAAATAGTTATATTGCACGCATTTCTTACATTTTGTTTTTATAGTGATTAAGAGTTATATGTTTATTATCCTCCTTATGGAGAGTATGAATATACATGAACATAGATACAAAATATCATATAATACAGAGCTACTGTGTTAATAATGAGAATGTTAATAAAGATTTGAATAAAATAAATGAATAAATAAATAAATAAATATAAATAAATAAATAAATAAATAAATAAATAAATAAATAAATAAATAAATAAATAAATAAATAAATAAATAAATAGCTATCTTAATGAATAAATAAATAAATAAATAGTTATTTTACTGAATAATTAAATAGATCCTTGAATAAATAACTAAATGTTCAGATAAATCGAATAATGTCTTTTTAGATATTTCAGTTGTAATACATATCAAATTAACTGTCATATTCCTTACATAACCTATATATAAACTTTACACACGAGTACGTGAAACTGTCTGCATCTGATTTTTCAAATGGGAAACATTTAAATTGTCACTTTTACATGATAGCAGAGTTAATGTCAAGTATGTGTCTTCCATAGCATAGAGCGTTGAAATTTGAAAAAATAGCATGACTGGAATTTTGAGTTAAAAAAAAGGCAGGATGAGACACTTTGTAAAAAAAAACAGCAGGATGACAATTTATGTAAAAAAAAAGTGAGGATAAACTAATAAATAAAAAATGGCAGGACCGGCCGAATACAGTGAAAAATAAAAAGGCAGGACAGAGATTACAACTAAAAAAAAAGGCAGGACAAAATTTTTCATCCTACTCCCCTCCCATAAAAATCAAATGGTAGCTCCCTTATATGTGTACACTCTTTTACAGGTAATAACTTGACGGAGGGCGATGCTGTTCATTTCAAAGAAATGTTAGATGTAAGTATGGTTGAAAAAAATCGAAATTAGCTGCACAGAGTTTAACAAAATGGTGGTGGTGGTGGTGGTGGTGGTGGTGGTGGGGGGGGGGGGGGGCATGCTTAAGGTGGAACCCCCTTTTTTGACGATCAATGCTTTTGAATGGGGACATATGGTTGGAACCCCCTTTTATTCTAGGTCGGAACCCTCTTTTTAAAAAATGGCTGGATACGCCCCCTGACACTTCAGTTCGTCTTGTTGATTTGTTTGTTGTTTATTGTTCGCAGCCATGAACACTGCCTTTCATAGTTAAGTTATGTTTTTATCTGGGATGTGGATTAATTAGTATTCTATTCTTTACATAACTTTAAAGTGTACGTGGTGAAATTGTACACGTACTATTAATACAAATTGGATTTTGATTTATATACATGAAAACACTGTTGACGCATACGTTCTAAACAGTTTTCCTCTCTCTGAAATAAAATAAAATGTAATAAATGCATTTAAAAATGAACACAAAGCTAAAGGGGCAATCTAAACACAAATCAAAGATAGATTCTAGTAGACAATATCTTGTTCAAAAGAAATCATATCACATGATATTCGTTTTAGTCCCTGTTTGGTCATAAATATTATCCTATATTCAATATAATGTTTGATCGTCACTGGTGTGGGCAAATCCAGAAACGAGTTTCGGATACACCAAATGTATGAACTGTTTTTTTTGCACATGCACTCACAATATCAAATCTTAGTTTACTGCTTTACCTGAACATTTTTGTGTTAATTTTTATCATTTCAGGAGAACCATGCCCTTAGAGAACTTCATCTGAAACACAATAAATTTCACGAAAGAGGAGGCGAAATATTTGCAGAAGGATTAGGTATAATAGCTTAACGATAAAGAAAGTTAAAAAAAAAAATCATGATAGCAGTGAAGTGTTATGTTATAAAGAATCCCAATTTCAGTATCAAATATCATTTGGAAAATATTGTTAATATGTGTTTGTGTATGAGCTGTTTCATAATTTTTTTTACCGCTAAAATTGTATACCGCACTTTACCGTTTATATCCTTTACTCAATTTACGAAGATTATCCCATCACAGGGACTCGGTTCGCAGATTAAAAAAAATGTAAACAATGTTTTTTCAATTTTTTTTAAAGCTATTCCTGTCGATTTGTATTACTTTATAAACGTATTTAACGATGGTAACAATATTTTTAGCAATGTGCAGTTTACTATCCATGTCCGTATACTGAAAAACATTGTTTAAATTTGTTTAATCTGCTAACAGAGTCCCTGTCCATCCCATGTCTCGATGTATGACCATTTTTTACATTATCCGAAGCAAACTCGTCGCTTTCCGAACATTCCCGAAGTTCTGCGATTGACAAATTTTACGAACTTCGGTCCTTGCTTTGATTTGCTTTTTCACTTGCATTTTAGTTATGTTTAATATGTTTTTATTCCTAATGATATCTGTTTTATGATTTACAGCTGTTAATGACTTCCTCAAAGTTCTTGATTTAAGTTGGAATCACTTACGACTCCGTGGAGCCACAGCTATTGGTAGAGCTTTACAGGTTTGTTTACAAAAAAAATATATAGTGTGATTTCATTGTACTTTTTTTTCCAAAACTGTGAAATTCGTATGAAGTGTATGTTTAACAGCCGCGGAAAAAAATGTCACGTCACATAAGACACCTTAAATCCGATTGTAATTTTGAATCAAAGTACTGAAGTACTGAACATCGGATGACCGCAAGTTCTTGTGGATGCTCACAAGCACTTATCTCAGAAAAAAAATCACGTCTCTATATCTGAAAGTGAGGTTAATGTACAGAAATAAATTTTTCTGAGACAAGTTAATGCGTGGATGATATATTAATTAATGACAGGGAATTCAAACTCACCGTAATAACTATTATATTGTAGTGATACAATCAGTATACTCTGGTTTGTTGTTATATATTATATTAATTTTCATCCATTTGTATACCATTCTATTCTATTATTCTAATAATAGTGCAGTGCAAGTGCATGGTGGACACTCTTCTGTAATAACTCGATTTTTCTAATAGATTGGATTTGAGTAGGTATTCATATTTTCCCGCAAAACGTTCTTGAGATATTCTTTCGCATGCGTTAACACAATTTTTCTGTACGTGTGCATAGATATTAATGATTTTTTACTTATATATAGATTTCTAACGACAAAACATTTTCATATCATTAATTTATGTTCTAAAAAAATATTTTTATGAGTATTCATTGAAAATTTATAACAAGCGATAAGGAATGTTATTTTGCACTCGATAATATCCGCGTATTTATACGATCGGTTACCAGTCAAAAAACGAAAGTCAAATCTCTGTGGCAACAATACATCGGAATGCCCTCACGGTCATCGCGATGTAAAAATGGCCTGTTTTTTGCTCTTCAGTCGGTTTGCTGTCTCCTTGACACATTCCCCGTTTCCATTCTCTATGCTGTCTAAATACATCAAAGAAAAGGAAACCCGCAATATCAATACAGAGGAATATTAAACATCATTCTACTTTTTGTTTTTTACGCTGGGGTCCAAAATGCAAGCAAAAAAGCTCTTGATTTTGCCTATACTCGATCTAATGTTATGTTTTGAAACGTTTTGATTGTCCGCAATCAGCTTGATAGGAGATCCATGGTGAATCTGAGCTAAGGTTGCTTACAACCACACCATTTTGAGTTTAGTTTATAGTTGTCTCTTCGCGGCAATTATACCACATCTCGTACTTTCATATCGATAGAACATATCGTCATCAATTACGAACAATACATACTGGTTCGATATTATATTTCTAATTTGTGGCGAAGAGTGCTCTTTCAATGTTATTTTTAAACATGGTTTAATACATGTCTAATTGATTCTTTTATCAAATATATAGAAAAATCGCCATCTGGAAAAACTTGACATTTCTTGGAACGGCTTCCACTTAACAGGAGCAGCAACTATCAGTTACGCCCTAACAATGAATACAGCACTTATTGAACTAGATATGAGTTGTAACAGACTTACAGACGCATGCGCAAAATGTCTTATAAAAGGAATTGAGAAAAATTCAACTCTGAAAATTTTGAGGGTAAGTTCCTCTTTTATCTGCCTTTTTTCTTCTTGTTATGTTTGTAAATTAATGTTTAAAATGAGTCAAAACATGAAAATTGAAAGTTTTGGCGCTTTTCTATACTAAAAAGTAAAAAAAAAAACAGAAACATAAACAGACCAAAGATAGTTCTACCTGTTTGATAAACTGATCAGCTCATTGTTGCTTAGCGACGTCTAGTCAAGTTTGTTTACAGTCTGAGTGACGCTTATCCTTAAATGGAATACATTTATTTATAAAAAAAAATTGATAAACTTCTAATTATAGATTAAAATTGATTTCATTTTCTTTCTAATTTGAACTTGAAAAATATCTCATTGATCAAAATAAAAAATAATGAAAAATCTTTTATCAAAGTAGAAATAAAAATAATGCGCTTCAAAAAGATTGAAAATTATTTTATTTGTTTGAATATTTTAGCTTGGAAAAAATCAAATGTATCCCGTCAGTGCAATGGCCATACTGGAATGTATAGATCAATCCATATCAGGAATACAACTCTTAGATCTTGGGGTAAGTTTGAAAAAAAGAACCAACAGGAACTGATAGGAATACTCTCTATTGGACGCTTAGCAATACAACTTCCGAAGCAAGGTTGTCGGCTCTCCGGACTTTCCCGAAGTCCTGCGTTTAACACATTGATTGCCGAGTTTATGAGCTTCGGTCCTTGGTTGGAAGTTGCTTAGCAATATTGTCGATCGTGCATGTCTGTCATATTTGTTTTCGAAACTTTTATTGTTGTAAATTAGGCCGTTAGTTTTCTCTTTTGAATTGATTCACACTTTTCATGTCTTGGCCTTGTATAGCTGACTTTTACTCATCGTTGAAGGCTGTATGGTGAACTATAGTTGTTTAAATCTTGGTTATTTCAACACTGGTAGATAGTTGTCTCACTGGCAATCATACCACACCACCTTATTTTTATATTTAAAGTCATCTGAGTTAGAACACTTAAATAAGCATATTTATTTAGTTCGTCAACTTTTAAAAACTTATTTTAAGTCATTGATTTAAATACATTTCTCTCATTCAGTTACAAGTGGCAATAGATCATACTTTTTTATTAGTTAACTCGATCCTAGGACCTCTGTGTTACAAGGCAGAGCTTTAACCGACTGAGCTAAAGAAATATTTCCTTAACTCAACCGCTCACGGCTGACTAAGTATCTAATAATGAAGGGAAGCAATCCCGTCATACATCTATAATATATCTGGCTTAACATTCCAGTTTATAAAATGATAAAAAGTGTTAAATCTTTTAGAATATAGATTTGTCTCGTTTTGTTATCCATGAGAGTTTAAAAATGGCACCATTCTTATAAGTCTGACAAAGTGCCGTTGTTTAGTATTCAAGTTAATATTTGAAAAAAAGGATTATTATACAAGTATTTTGATAAGCATTGATCAAATTTTACCTTACGTTAATCTGACGTTTGACCTTTTTACGATGAACTTCTTAACACCTTCTTGAGACTTTAAGCCGATCAAATGGTTTAAGAAATCCTAAAGTTTAATTTACTTTGCGTACTGACATTTACTTTGTTTAGGTTAAACCGTATACATGTATACAAAATGAACTTTTAAATATATTCAACTTTATTTTTTATGGATACGGAATATCAGTAACCAAGAGGGAGATTTATGTGGGGTGCATACGGAGCGTGCGCCCCCTAAAATCAGAAAAAAAATTAATATCCTATTTTTGAAAAAAAAGCGATTTAGAATTTTTCATCTCGCCACCCAATCTAATTAAAATATAGATCTCGGATTTCGTTATACTACGTTATATACGTAGTATAACGAAATCCGAGATCTATATTTTAATTAGATTGCTCGCCACCCTCATCACCATTATTACGGTCTCATCCCACAACACTGAAGTCCTGGATACTCTCCTGACTGTAGTTCCTTTAAATATCACTAAATACAATTGAAACTGCATTACACTCTTTTGAAAATCAGTAAGAATGTCATTTCTCTATTTGTGGGGTTAGGAAAATATTATACAATTATTTCAAATGACAGTGAGCCTAAAGTTGTTTTGCGCAGGATAGTATATATTCAGTGATTTTCAAAGTAATAACCTTTTAAATCATATGGGGATGTTGGATGTGTACTGATTGATATTTTAGTCTTAGATACATCATTTTTGTTTGTTTGTTGTTATTGGTTTTGAGCTGTCAATAACTCAGATCTGTACTTAGTATCTTTTTGTTGTGGGGATGTATAAGTACCCTGCCACGTCCACTCTGTGCTTTTGTTAGATGTATTTCTATTTGTATCCATCTGATGAGTTAAGACTTTTTCAAGACTTTTTCAACTGATTTTTATGGTTTGTTCTTATGTTGTACTGTTACATCACTGTCCCAGGTTTGGGGGAGGGTTTGGCGCCAGATAACATGTTAACCCCGCCATATTCTTTATATACCTATCCCAAGTCAGGAGCTTCTAATTCAGTGGTTGCCGTTTGTTTCAGTGTATCATATTTGTTTTTCGTTCATTATTTTGTACATAAATAAGCCGCTAGTTTTCTCGTTTGAATTGTTTTACATTTGTCATTTCAGAGCCTTTTAACTATATATATATATAGCTCACTATAAGGTATAGGTTTTGCCCATTGTTGAAGGCCGTACGGTGACCTATAGTTGTTAATTTCCATGTCATTTGGTATCTTGTGGAAAGTTGTTTCATTGGCAATCACACCAGATCTTTTTAATTTTATATAAACACTTGCACTGAATGCACCAGTACACCAGCAGCGGTATCGATCTAGTGGTAGAATTTCATAATAATGAAACTAATTGCAGCACTCAAAATAAACAGAAATTTAATTTACACCATGTTCTCTGCTTGTATAGAATTGGAGCAAAAAAATATGCCAAAAGATTACCTTAAAATTCGAAAAGTGGTTGATTGATTCTATTTTTTTGTTTAAAGTCCCCAGTGGCAAATATTTCATGTATATTAAGGACGAAATAAAAAAATTAGGAATGTTGAAAAGGCAATCTTTAGTTAATCATTAAGACAAGTAAGTCATTGTCATTGAATTTAAAAAAGACACAAGCATAAACATGATAAAAGGGCTTTTTAACCCAAAATATATGGATATACTATGAAACATCAAATATAGAACAAGTTGCTCATATCTCCTTTTATGCATCATAACTTCGCTCAAATCTTTTTTGCACCTGAGATCAGCTTCGGCATTGCCATGATTTATGTCATCCATTGAATAAGTTCTCCGTTGAATAACGACAGAAATTACGAAACCAACCAAGGTTCCATATCCATCAGGTAAAGTTGACCTCAAATGGATTGGACATTCTTTTAAGGTAGATCATCGGTATGTATTTCCTCAATTAGAATTTTCTTATACTTTGCCCAAAATGAAGATTTTACTATGCTTTTTTTTCAAAAACATAATAAAAAGTATGGGTCTCCTTGCTATTTTTCAAGCTACAAATCGTGCAAAATTGCCCAAATTTGCATAGATTGTTCATGAAAAACTTTTGAAATAGAATATGAGAAGATAGGTTTTATAATATGCTTTAAGAAAATAAAAAGAAAAATTGATGTCACCGAACTTGTTTTCTTGCTAAAAGTAAAAAATGAAAATTTCACTATCATTCCAGTACAAAAATTTCATTATAAGAGTAAATTCCCTTAAATGGCTAAGTTGAAAAATTTATTCTAAAAAACACAAATATTTAGTATTTTTTAAAAAAAATATTGGATAATGCAATAAATCATTTATTTTTCTTTGTACAAATAAACAATCTTACACATAGATTGCAAATCTGTCTCAAAATTTGCAGATTTAGACAAAGAATTAGAGCGATTGTGTACTGCTATTGTACACTACAAGATGGCGGTATACAGTGAATTTACCTTAAGGTCTCCTTTGGTCATATAGGTCCCCAAGTTTTTAAACATTCTTGGCTTTCAATATGTTAAGTTTTATCGTTCGTTGTGCAAAAAACCCAGAGGAGCTCTTAGAAGGCACACATTTATGCAGTGTTACTTTTATTTACAAAGCATCATCAAATGACCTGTATAAGTTAAACTTATTTTTGTATCTCTGACGTTTGATTGCAGGACCAATGTGTTATGGATACATTTGAAAAATTATATAATGAAATGAAAAAAAGAAAAGATTCCTTTAAAGCCATTTATGGATATGTTTGGGACACGAATCGCGAAGGAATTTCACAAACTGATGTAAACGAAGATGAAAAGGATCTCATTGACGAGGACCCATTACTTGTCTTATTTGAATATGCCCGACTTCAAAACTTTCGTCTTTTGGACATGTTTACTATATTAGACACAGATAAAAGTGGATCTCTTGATAAACAAGAATTCAAAGATGGATTAGAGGTGAGTATCTTACATGCTGTATAAATATACCATTGAAAGTTCCATCATCAGATTTAATCAAGACGGATTAGAGGTGAGTAATTTACAAGCTGTATAGATATACCATTGAAAGCTCCATCATACGATTGAATCAAAGATGAGTTGGAGATGAGTAACTTACAAACTGTATAAATATTCCATTAAAAGTTCTTCGTCAGATTTTTCAAAGATGGATTAGAGGCGAGTAACTTGCAAACTGTACCAATATACGATTGAAAGTTCATTGTCAGATTTAAGATTACTAATAGTATTAAAATACCAGATTTCAATTATTTTCTGCAACAAGTTTCCATTATTCCCTAGGAGATTGACAAAGAAGGAAGGAGGTTAAAAGAAGGGCAATAAAAAGTCAGACAATACCATGACACACAAATAAAAAGACGATTGGACATACAAACAAAATAATTCGCACACTAGGAAAGATAGAACAACCCGAATCCCCCAACATTGATGACATCACGGTCAAATGACAAAATTATGTATATGAGCTGGTAGACAAAAAAATTTCATCCAATCAGAGGACATGTTACATCCAAAATTAAATTATATTAAAATGATTACTGCTGTACCCCTAATTTTGACATTTTTACCAGTTATGTCTGTTTGTTTTACTTACACATTGATGTCGATATAATGGAATTTTATGCGACTGTCATACAAGTGAGAAGTTTAGCCAGGTTTAATTCACAATTTTTTACATAAGGAAATACATGTACCAAGTCAGGAATATGACAGTTGTTTTCCATTCCTTTGATGTGTTTGAGCTTTTGATTTTTCCATTTTTTAAAGAACTTTCCATTTTGAATTTCCCTTGGAGTTCGGTATAGTTGTTATTTTACTTTATTTTGAAGGGCATTCTGGTACACGTATAAGTAAGAGCAACCAAAAGAAAGTAAAACAAAACTATTATCGGTTTAATTTGGGGGGAGAGTTAACTGTTTTCCGATGATTTTGTTGTATATAGAAAACATAAAACAGATAATTTTCCCCAAAATTATACCCATTGAAAGCTTTATTTTACTTCCTTACGTTGCTCTTACTTGATCAAGTACCAGGATGTCCTACCACATAGATGATGACCTGTCGAAAAATTATAAATTCCGGTGACAAAATTTGGTAAGATGAAAATGTTTTTTTTTATTAAATAACATGGATGTCAATGAGATAACACCAAGAAAATAGATTACACTCTGAAGTGTGAACGAATGTTTTTACTTTTATGTTTTTCTGTTTGTCCATGGATGTATGCTACGTCAACTGCGGTCAATTGAGGTCTATATTATATCTTCCATATGTACTGAAGTTTATATCATCTTTTTTTATTTTTTTATAATTTTAAATAGCAAGTGAAAATACCAATGTCAGAACCATCTCTGAACCTTTTGATAAAGAAGATGGACAAAGACGGAGATGGTGAAATAGATTTTGGGTTTGTATAAAATAATAAATAAGGAAAAACAACACTATAAAAAATGCATGCGTCCAAAAATTTTTTCTGTGTTTACCTTTATCAGGAACTCTCAAAGCCGAATATTTGAAAGTCAAGGATGTATATATATATATATATATATATATATATATATATAGTTTTGTAGCCTTTATAGCTTACTAATAGCCAAATCCATCTAAGGCAAGCTTTACTCGAGTGAGTTGAAACCTTAGTTTCCCAATAATTTCTAGATATATATAAACACAAATTTAGAAAGGTTTGTTATAAAGCATGTCAGTACTGAAGTATTGACTACTGAGATGATGATACCCTCGTGTGTTAATAGTCCACTAGCAGCGTTATCGGCTCAGTGCTGCAACAAAACTGAAAACAACACTTTATAAATTTAATGCGTCCGGCGCGCTTTTATGGATAACATAAAAATTGTATTTCTATAATTTATTGAAATTTAAAATTTACATAATGGATTTCAACCATGCCACAGAAAACTACATACACATGAAAAATAGCAACATATTTTATCCACGTAGTGGTTGTCGTTGGTTCATATCTGTAATAATTGTTTATCGTTAATAATTTTGTTTTAAATTAGGCTCTTAGTTTTTTTCAATCCAGTTGTTTCGTATTTTATATATTTTAGCCTTTTATAACCGACTATACGGGATGGGTTATTCTCATCGTTGATTGCCGTACGGTTGCTTATAATTGCTTGCATCCACTTTATTTGAACTATATTTAAGTTGTATTGAGATATCATGGTTTCAGCATTCAATTTATTGGACGTCTGTTTACACCCATATAATGTATGGTTTTTGTTATCAAATATTCGTTCGTAGACCACGCGTGTAAACGTTCTTTAAAAATGTTTTACACATGAAAAAAAGTACCGTTGTAAAAGTATGATAAAGTACATTTTTCATATGTTAGGCATCTAGTTTTGAATGCACATTTCCCAGGCATGATAAGAAACCTTAGTCTTACGAGGGTGGTAAAGGGGGGATGCTTGCACGGAAAAAACGTGAAATAAGACATAATTTCACGTTGAACGTGAAATAATTTCTGCCATGAACGTTGCACAAAAAAAAACTTTGATGTGAACTTTTTGTGACTGATTCACTGTCTACCTGTATATGTAAACTCTCTGTTTTACTTGATATTCCCGATTTAGTATACACATTTATGATATGAATGGTTTTACGGCTTTTAAAAAAGTATATAACGATCTTCTTATCTTCTAAAATGCAAATACCCCGCAGCTCCAAAATCGGTAAGGAACAACACCAAAGGCCTTGCCGCTTTATCAAAAAACAAAATTGAATTCATTTTTCTTTACACCTAAGGTAAACTTTGCTTTAAGGAAGGCTCTTATCCAACAAATTGATAAAAATATATGTTAAATAAATTTCTGAATGTATTATTTTAGGGAACTGATTTCAGCTCAAAAGTTGCATAAAGAAAAATTGAGGGATTTTATGAGAGCTGAGGTTGATTTGGAGAACACAGAAATAGGAAGAATCGACCGGAAGATAAGAATGGTCATGAGCAGACGACATTTAATGAAAAAGAAGAAAACAGAAATGAAAGATCTTCTCAAAGTTTTAACAAAAGCAGCTAGACCCGTAGAAGAAGACATACCTGTGGAAGAAGACATACCTGTGGAAGAAAAAGTTGCTAGGGATCTGAAATCTACTTTACAAAAAGGCTTTCCTAAAATGGCAAATCTTATGAATTTCCTTCCAGATATAAAGCAAAGACTGTCATTAGTCACTCAAACAGAGGCAGAAGGAAACAACAACCAACCAGTGGACGCACCAGATGAAAGCAACCAATCAGGAGACACATGAAAACAACAAACATTTAAGAAATGTATAAGTGATAAATTAAACTGCTCTCTAAAAACGACAAATGAAAAAACAAAAAATTTTGAAGAATAAATGATACAGCTCCCAGGGATGAAAATTAACAAGGGCAACGTTGACCACAATCCTTAACATATGGCCTTGGCTACTAAACGTTTCTTCATTTTTATTTAGTTAGAAGAAATTAGACTACTACATTAAAATTTCTCAACAAAAATTCCGTTTCAGCTGGTTTTGATTTATATAATTTATATATGCTGGTTCACCGAAAGTGACATAAACAGCATGCCTGAACATCGATATTAAATACTTAATTTGAAAACTGGATTAATTTATCATTGACAATCAACAAAACATGTAAAATTAAATATTATTTATGTTTGTTCTTTTTTCTGATTGCTGTCAACAAATACTATAAATCTCATATTTATGATGTAAGATATGCTTACCCTCCCGTAGCAACTGAGATCATCCTCAGTTTATGGTCGGGTTCGTGTTGCTCAGTTTTTAGTTTTCTATGTTGTGTTTTATGTGCTGTTGTTTCTTTTTTGGTGAGGGACTTGGTGGCCGAGTGGTCTAAGTAGTCAAACTACTAGCTAGCTGTTTCACTTGCCTGTCAACACTCAGATTGTGAGTTCGATTCCTACACGTGGCAGGTGCGCATGAATCGAAACTTATATATCCCAACTCGTTCGGTATGCCCGTGTGTGTAGTGATGTCATAGATTTTAACGAACGTAATCAATGCATCACTGGTAAATTATTAAGTCAGGGATTTCGTTACCACAAATTACTTAAAACTTTTCCTAAATTCTTTCATAGATACAAAGATTTGATTAGTAAATTTGGCTGTACCTGTAGAAAACTTATTAAAAATGGTATTTCACATCCTAAATTTTATGGTAATATTGTACTTAAAGCGCGGAAATCATTATGTGATCCGTGTAAACTCATCGAACCTTTAAACAAACTTATTAGTAAGGGTTATCGTACCAATGTTGTAATTAGATCTCTGAATATAGTTTACATTGGCACTAATATCGATTTTGTCATTAGCAAATTAAAACATAACTAAATTTGTATTTTCTTTTCAAACGGGATGTATAGAGACACACACACGTTCATTTTTATCTATAGAGAAGTCACTCCTAACTATCCTACTACCTGTCGATACATTTATTTTTGGCATTGCACAAGTCATGTCTTCTTTGACTGTTTATGACGTTAAAATACTAAATCCCTGGGGTGTATTTTAGTTGATTTTAGTCTCTGATGCATGATTCTTTATTATTAATTGTTTTGGCTTTGAACTAGCTGTCAGTAACTGCGAGTACTCTCAAATCGTACTTTCTTTTTAATTTGACCTGTTGATACTATGTGTAATGCTTTTTTGTTATTTAATGTTAACATTGATCTTGTCTATATACCAGCTTTGATTATTTGGTATTTAATTACTACAAATTTTCACTTCTTCGAACTATGGACATCAAAATTATTTCATTTTTTCCTTAGATCCTATTCTTGGACCTGTACAGGAAGTTTTATCTAGCACTAATTGTATATTTTTATTGTTGATATTCACCCCATATGTACCAAGTGTTAGATTAGTTTTATTGATATTAAAGAAATTTCTTGGTATTCCTTAACGGAAGATTTTATACACACAGAAGAAGAAGTATACATAACAACAAAATTATTTTCATTTACCTGTGTATAATATGACGCAGGTTTCTTCAAAAATGATGATTTTCTATAAATTATTTGAAATTTCACAGTGATAACATACTCTAACTTTGTTTAAACCTGTTTGTTTACTTTTGACTTTAATTATTTATCCCTTGTAAATTTTTATTAACTGTGTATTTGCATTCAGGTGTCACAGGTCAAATTTATTCGTTCATTGTGTGTTAATTTACGTTTTTTGATTGAGTTAAGCCTTCCAATTGATATTTTAAAGTGTGATTTTCTATGTTGTGATGTTATACTATTGTTTCAGAAAAGGGAGAAGGTTTGGTACCATTAAAACGTTTAATCCCGCTGCAAATGTTTGCACCTGTCCTAAGTCAGGAATCTGATAACAGTAGTTGTCGTCTGTTTATGTAGTTCATACGTGTTTCTCGTTTCTCGTTTTTATATAGACTAGACCGTTGGTTTTTCCGTTTGAATGGTTTTACACTAGTAATGTTTTGGGGCCCTTTATAGCTTGCTGTTCGGTGTGAGCCAATGCTCCGTGTTGAAGGCCGTACCTTGACCTATAATGGTTTACTTTTATAAATTGTAACTTGGATGGAGAGTTGTCTCATTGGCACTCATACCACATCTTCCTATATCTATTAATTGACTACGATTGCCTCGATTTCCTACCAAAGGCTTCTTCCACTAATACAAACTGATCGCCAAGAAAATACATTGTGACTTAGATGAAGAGCTGTCTCCTTGGCACTCATACCACATCTTCTTATATATATTCACCGTCAAGAAAAAGCCAATATTGCTGAAAATGGCGTTTAAAAACCAACCAATCAATCCATTCTCCTTTGGTCGTTTTATTTTTTTTGCCACATCGTTGTTAGATTGTTTTCGACTTATGAGTTTGATTATCCCTTTTTATCTTTTTGCCTATCTTTTCTTTTTACAGTAGTAGACAAAAAAATTGAGATTGCTTCATACAATCATAGGTCACCATATGGCCTTCAACAACAAGGAAGACCGTACCGTATAGTCAGCTATAAAAGGCTCCGAAATACAATGTGTGAAACAATCCAAACGAGAAAACTAACGGCCAAACTTATACAATACAATTTACGAAAAACTTGTATGACAGACATTAACAAACGACAACCACTGAATTACAGGCTCTTGACTTGGGACATGCACATAAATAATATGGCGGAACTAAACATGTTGGTGAGCGCTCAACCCTTCTCTAACCTGGGACAGTGATGTTTCAAGAACAACTGTAAAAAATAGTTGAAAATGGCAAACCTCAATAAGATCAATACGAAGCAGTGGCCATTATTTGTTAGAATATATAAGTATTCGGTACACAGGAAAATGAAAGATGAACTGATACCGCATCACAGAATTAAGAATCTTTTCAGGAAGCCTGATAACAAATTTCAGGAAGGTCTGATTTGCATTGCCTGCAAAAAATGCAACAGAATTTCATACGACTCATCAGTGACATCAGATGAAATCAGTGGAAACGTCAAATCAAATGCAAAGTTGCAGAGCATTAAAAATCGAAAATTCAAATTTATACATCCTTGACTTTTAAATTATGGGCATTAAGCATTCCTGATGAAGGAAAATCGAGATAACGTAAGTAGACAGACACGAAATGTATGAAGCGTTATTATCTTTTACTAAGATGCCAATATGTGTAAACCGGCGCGGGACATTTGCGCTTTTTCATAAGACATTTGCGCTTTTTCACAAGACATTTTCGCTTTTTATAAGACATTTGCGTTTTTTTTAATGGACATTTGCGCTTCTATTTATAGGACATTTGCTCTTTTTAAAAAAGGCCATTTGTGCTTTTTTATATAGTACATTTGCGCTTTTACCGTATTTGCTTCTTTTGACTTCCCTATTTTATCCGGGCTAAGGACCGGTAGGTTTGACCTGGCAGAGTTAAAGTCATAATTTAAAATATTGTTTAAAGTTAAATAGTCATTTCATAGCACATTCGTGTTTAAAAGTCATTGCATAGCACATTAATATAGTTATATACAGCTAAAAGTAAACATTCTGAAGACATAAAGACGCGTATAGTCACCACAGGTCAATTTTCGCTTGATATCTGAAGCTCAGGGAATGAACAAATTTAGCTCTTGTAATCTTTCCTCACTGGTATTTCGCCCACATTTCAAATAAATATTCTAGTTCTTTTTTTCAACTCTTGACTGAGGGCCCTGTTTATCAATATAACGAATTTTAATGTTATTAACCGACTGTTGTTCAATGATAAAACTCCATCGTGAAATATACGGTTTTTCCTTTACTGGTTTTTATCTTTAAACTCTATGTTTAAGACTGTGTCAATGTGAAATTACCAACGACAAATATAAGTTGAATTTATTTACGTAATGATTACAATTTATTAAAATTACAAGTAGACGACTATAGGTAAAAAACGCAAATGTCCGGTCAATTTAATACAGGTGTATCAAAATTTAAAGCGCGAATGTCCATAGTGTCCTATCTTGTTACAGGTAAAAAAGCGCAAACGTCCTGTACCCGTGTAAACATAATTATCATTTTGGTAAAGATCTTGGTTCATACTTATTTGTTTTGTTTATAAAATATGTGTCAACTAGCCACGTTTGGCCGATATGTCAATGTTTAATCCATCTTTGTGACATCATAAAAAGTAAAATAACAAAAATACCGAACTCCGAGGAAAATTCTAAACGGAAAGTCCCTAAGCAAATGGCAAAATCAAAAGCTCAAACACGTCAAACGAATGGATAACAACTGTCCATAACATAAGTGATCTTTCTGCCATTAAGTGTCGAGATTTTTTTAACCTGTTCATTTACAAATAAAAATTTACATTTTGTGTTTTCAATGCTAATCGACTACTCTATTGACTGTGTTGATTCGAGCGTCACTGATGGGTCATGTGTAAAACACGTGTCTGGCGTAGTGAAATATCGCCTGGTATCTTTTGATGTTTTAATTTGAGTAATATTGCTTTTACTTGTCATGTTCGTAGAATAACATAACTCTTATTGAAAACAACTGGTAATATCTGCTACATATGAAAATAAGGAGATGTGATATGATTGTCAATGAGACAACTATCCACCAAAGTTCGAATGAAGAAGATGTAAGCAATAATTGGTAATTGTACGGCCTTCAACAATGAGAAAAACCCGTACCGTATATTCGGCTATAAAAGACCACCACATGTAAAATATGAAACAATTCAATTAAGAAAACTAACGGCCTAATTTATAACGAAACAATTTACAAAAAAAACATGACAGACATGAACAACGACAACCACTAAAATACAGGCTCCGGACAGGTACATAAAGAATGTGGCAAGGTTAAACAAACCTGGGAGAGTGGTGTAACGGCATAACACAAGACCAATTATGAAAAAACAATAAACGAACAACCACTTAAATACAGACTCCTGGCTTGGTTCAGGCTCGTAATTATAGAATCAATATATAAATATGTTTGCTGGTGCCAAACTAGTTTAACCTCGCCACATTATGTATGTGCCTGTCCAAAGTCAGGAGCCTGTAATTCAGTAGTTGTCGTTTGTTGTTGTATATCATATTTTTTTTTCGTTATTTTTTTTGTACATTAACCAGGCCGTTAGTTTTCTCGTTTGAATTGTTTTACATTTGTCATTTCGGGGCCTTTTGTAGCTGACTATGCAGTATGGGTTTCGCTCATTGTTGAAGGCCATACAGTGACTTTTAGATGTTAACTTCTATGTAATTTGGTCTCTGTTGGAGAGTTCTTTCATTGGCAATTTTACCACATCTTATTTTATATAAACATATTTGAAAAGGGATTCTTTTTTTTTGTTAGGGATGAGGGTGGATAAATACCTTGCCACGTCCGGTCTGTGTTTTTGTTTGATGTTTTTCTGCTATGTATCGATCTGATGAGTTTAGATTTTTCAACTGATTTTTATAGTTTGTTCTTATGTTGTGCTGTTACACCACTGTCCCAGGTTAGGGGGAGGGTTGAGCGCTCGAAAACATGTTTAACCCCGCCACATTCTTTATGCGTCTAATATTATTTTTATAGTACAGGAATACACACCCTTGCAAGTGACATTAAATATTAGAAATGTACCGAGTTTTATCTGCATTACACATCTAAAATCTAATTGACCATTTACAATAAAGAAACAGTTCAATGTGAAATAGTATTGGTAAACAGAAACCGAAAGGGGTCATTTGAAAAAGAAATATGTTATTTCCCCAAAAAAATAATTATACGTATTTGGTTTTATAAAGATAAAAATTATCGCTCTTTTACCAATATCATATCGTTCCGTCACACCCGGCACCTAGCAGAGATATGAAAATGTTTACCCAAATCAGTGTAAGACAAGGTCGGGTATTTAACAGGCCAATGTGTTTAATGCAAAAGAAAGAAAATTACTATTTCATGTCAACGGAATATTTTTTTTTAGATTGGAATTGAATATCTATTGCCGAAGGAACGTCATGTGTTTCAGTCGATGAGTTTACCGATATATCATTGGAGCGACATATGTATGTCTGGGGACTGAAATATCGAATCCATTGAATAAAACTTTATTTCTAGGAAACGAGCAACTATTTCGTGGAAATGAAATAATATGTGATTTTAATTAATTATGCAGTTCAAACGATGTATCTAAAATAAAAGTTAAAAAGCGTGTCTAATCAGACTAAATATATACATAGGTTTTTTAAAAGGAAAACTGACATTCAACATTTAATGATGACAAAACAGTATCAGAAGCAGTAAAACATCTTCAGTTAGGATAGAAAATTGGTGGAAAGTTTCCATTTGATAATTCTTCATTGGCATTCATTATCTTTGTGGTAATTCAATTTCAAAATGTTATTCCTCTCAATGAACCCATTTTTCCAATTCTGTGCAGAGCTTTGATTAATAAAAGCAGAGTTGGTTTTGGTTGCTGCTTCTTACTCCAGATCTGCAAAATCTCCTTAGTCTGTTCCAGCAGTTTGTTTTTATGTTTATACTGTATTTGTTGAATGGTACTTGAATCTAGATCCAGCTCAATGGCAAGTTGCATAGTACTATTTCCAATATGGTTCGATAAATCCAAAAGTAAGTTGTTTGATGGAGGGTTGTTCAAAGTAACTTCTGGAATACCTAAACAATAAATAAAGTAAGTACTTTTGATATTTTTGAAGCAGATAAAAAAAAACATAGTTAGGTTAACTGAAAAACTTATTTACATGTTCTTTCTTTGTATTATGTGTTAAAGAAACATTTCTAAAGCTGGAACCAGGAAAATAGTAACAATCGTTTTTACCTCGTCTGCTGTGGCAACATTTCTGTTGCTTTAAGAAAGTGATACATGACAGATGTTAGGCATTATACGACAGATATATACCCTACATATTTTTTAATTGTAATCTATAGATATAAGAAGATGTGGTATGAATGCCAATGAGACAACTCTCCATCCAAGTCAAAATTTATAAAAGTATACCATTATAGGTCAAAGTACGGTCTTCAACACGAAGTCTTGGCTCACACCGAATAGCAAGCTATAAAGGGCCCCAAAAATTACTAGTGTAAAACCATTCAAACGGTAAAACCAACGGTCTAATCTATATAAAAAACGAAAAACGAGAAACACTTATGAACTACATCAACAAACGACAACTACTGAACATCAGATTCCTGACTTAGGACAGGTGCAAACAATTGCAGCAGGTTTAAACGTTTTAATGGTACCAAACCTTCACCCTTATCTGAACAATAGTGTAACTAACATCACAATATAGAAAGACACACTATAAAATTATCAATTGAAATAGCTTAACTCAATCAAAAGACATATTAACACCAGTGAACATACAATGAACAAATAAATTTGATCCATGATACAATGTAAGTACAAAATAAATAAACTAAGGGAAGAATACTAAACGTAACATGTTATATCGCTGTGAAATGTTAAACAATTTAAGAAAAACAATATGCTTGACAAAAATATCAGCCATTTGCAATTTCTTTAAACACAGGTAAATGAAAATATTTTGTTGTTAGGTATACGTGTACAGTTCAAATAGAGAAAGGAAATATTTTTACAAAATAAATAATTTTGATATTCATAGTACGAAGTGAAAATTTATAGTATTACCAAACACTTATCAAAGCTGGTATATAGACCAGATATAACCCTGAATAACATTAAATAACAAAAAAGCATTACAATTAGTATCAACAGGTCAAATAAACAAGAAAGTACGATATAAGAGTACTCGCAGTTACTGACAGCTAGTTAAAAGCAAAAAACAATTAATAATAAAAAATCATGCATCAGAGACTAAAATCAACTAAAACACATCCCAGGGATTTAGTATTTTAACGTCATGGACAGTCAAAGAAGACATGACTTGTGCAATGCCAACAATAAATGTATCGACAGGCAGTAGTATAGTTAGGAGTTAACCTCTTTATAGATCATAATGAACGTGGGTGTGTCTTTATACATCCCGTTTGAAAAGAATACAAATTTAGTTATGTTTTAATTTGCTGATGACAAAATCGATTATTAGTGCCAATGCAAACTATATTCAAAGATCTAATAACAACATTGGTAAGATAACCTTTACTAATAAGTTTGTTAAAAGGTTCGATGAGTTTACACGGATCACATAGTGATTTCCGCGCTTTAAGTACAATATTATCGTAAAATGTAGGATGTGAAATACCGTTTTTAATCAGTTTTCTACAGGAACAGTCAAATTTACTAATCAAATCTTTGTATCTATGAAAGAATGTAGTCCTTTTAGTCATCACGTGCTTTATTATTTGCTTCAATACGGAATTATTTGTAAACCAATGAAAATGCATTTACAATTTCAATTGGGACGACCATAATTTGATATTCGGAAGGGGGAAGGACAGAATGATTTTTTTCTGGTTGTGATTGTAAGGGGTTAACAATAGTGCTATGGCTAGTTTAGTATTAGAATTATGCTAAGTGCTAAGGTTAGGCTGCAGGCATTGGTTAGGGTTAGGACTAAAGTTATAGTAAATGTCAGTTAAGGTTAAGGTGAGAGTCAATGTTGAGGTTTAGGTTATGTTCGGATTGAGACTAGGATAATAGTGCGTAGCGACGCGATTCATTCAATTTAGATTTGAGTTCACGGAAACCCTATGTCGTTCACGACACTATGTTTTAAAGCCTGGAATTATAAGAAAATTGGTATGCTCCTTTATAATATATTTACTGAAACAAGTGACAAACACTAATGAGGTTGTAAGTTTTTATTTCTGCTATACAATCATGGACGACGAATAAAATCATCATAGATACCAGGATTAACATTTGGTAAGCCAGACGCGTGTTTCGTCTACAAAAGACTCGTCAGTGAAGCTCGAATCAAAAAACTTAAAAAGACCAAATAATGTACGACATCAAAGAGCATTGAGGACCTACAATTTAGAAAGGTTTTGCCAAATACAGCTCGAAGACGTGAATTTATCAAATATCTATTAGATTTATTTTGGGGTTGAACGTAAATGTTTGAATACAGACTTAGAAACCAAGATCTTATTTATGAAAGACAAGTATAGATTAAAATAGATAAATAAGTAATACCTGATATATCTGCTTTCACATCGCTAAGAACCTAAAATGAAAATTAAGACATAATTAAAACAAATCATCAAAGATACCCGACTTATGATTTATAACGCACGACATGGGTTTTCGTAAAGATACGAATTACCAGTAGCAATTGTATCAAAATATTAAGAACAAATAAGAACTATATTAAAAAACTTCAATAACTCGTGACAAAACATTTTAGCCTGTCAGTAGCATACAAGTGTTTTGAACGAATGATTAACCCTGTTTATTTCTACTTTTATGACAGTACGATGGCCTGTAGATGTCAACATGGAGTTAATGTATACTTATACATCCCGTCATTGTGTTATTGTGCTATCGTAAATTTTTGTATTCTTGTCTTTCGTTTTTTCCAAATGTGCTTTGTCTATAAGCCTTTTGGTTTTTCTTTGTTGACATATTTGTTTGTTTTTATAGTGATTAAGATTATAACATAATGTTGACTGCTGTACCCCTATTTTTGACATTTTTACCTATTACGTCTGTTTGTTTTGTTCACACATTGTTGTCAATATAACACTGTGTCTAAACTACTCCGGCAGAAAAATGTTTGGACTCAATGGTATCTAATATCCGGTACGGTGACGCACCATCAACAGACAGAAGGAATGTAGGATTTCTGTTTATTTATTTGTTATTTTTATGATGTTGAAGAATATAAATACATCTATAACCATTTTCGATTGTGAGATGTAAAATTTTCTACAACCGTTCTAGATTAACGGAGAAATAAGTAAAAAGGCACGTCAAAATGATGAATTGAGTGAAACTTGTCTCGAATTTGTTTAAATTTTCGTAAAATTGTGCACGTTGTACGGAAAGAAAGATATCAACATGGAGATTGCAAGACTAGTCACTTTGAGCATCGCAATGTTTGTATTTCTGTGTTTTGTTTTGAAACCTCAAATTTATTAAAAGCGACTTAAACCCGGATCTGAACATTTTCCGTCGCAAGAAATTCAATATATATGTTATTATAAAACAAACCTGTCTTGTTAAAATTTATTTTAAACGGGCACATTTAAGGAGTACACATTTTTTCGAAAGCAAAACGTATACCTTATTGGAATTATCTTCGCACTTATTTTAGGTGGAATATAAATACTTTATACCATGCACTTTTATTAATTATTCTATTACATTTTTGTTTGTTTACTTTACTAGTATGTAATGATGTAAAAATAAGAAGATGTGGTATGATTGTGTTACCATATCAATTTATTAAACGAGAAAAGCTAGTATGCCTTACTTTACTATAGCTTTGTTTATAATATTTACTATCAATTACTCGTTTATTCATTATTCATTCATTAACGGACAGTCAGAAAAAGACATTAGTCTTTCATAATCATGCATGCAATACTGTGTAACTCGTATTATACGACTTTGCCACCAGCAGAGCTATAGAAAAACCGTACAATAACGGGTGTTACACGGACACTTTTTATAAATAGAGTCTCTCGTGCATTCAGTGAGTTCATATGCACTTTTTCGTACACCTTGTGACCATATTACCTGTTTTCAGAATTATAATTTATATGAAAAGTATTCATAAAGATTATATTTATAAAAAAGATAACTAAGTTCCAAAATGCTGAAATTAAATAACGTGTCTACGACTGACTGCAAGAATAACTTGAACCATAACATGTTTCAATGTACAAACCTCTCTTCGGTTTGTTTAGAAATAAGCTGAAATCTTTCAAATCGTCTAAATCGAACAATACGGAAGATTTCCCCCTTTTCTCTTCGTGTTGAAGGAAGTTTTTTTAAGTCGAATTGTGATAGCACAAAATCAGTTTCAACGTCAAATAAACTACCACTGATTTTGAACATTTGGACACAGGCACTTGTCTCTGAAAAATTTTTCCTATATACCTTAATATAACACAATTGAAGTATATAGGATTTTTTTTCAGAGACAAGTGCCTGTAAATTTGATTTCGTAAATATTTAGATCCCCCCCTCCCACCAACCTTTTCAATCTACACACCTACGTCACTGATATATATATATATAAAAATAAGAAATAATTTCACTCGCACACAGCTTAAAGAATTGAGAAGCGCCAGTGTTCACGCAAAATCCCTATTTTATTAAAGACAATAGATATCTCCACACATCGTAGTACATAAACTGGTATGGATATTTTTTGGAGTTCAATCTTTTTAATTATGCAATCGTCTATTAAATGCAAAATGTATTACTTTCCAATTAAAAAAGTCGTACAAGTCAGATACAAAACAAAAGTAACAAAAGAAACGTGGTGGTAATAACCAGCCTGTTTTTGTTATTTTTGTTTACGCGAGTTTTCACAATTGAGCACACACTTAACATAGCTATGGGATTTTCAACTTTTCCCTTATTTTTAGGAAAGCACATTTGATTTATGGGCCTTTTATCGCGTGTTTTCCATATCATATTCACAGTTCAAATTTCAATAAAACTTCAAGTTAACATTTGAAAATAATGTTTTATTACAATTAGGTTTTTTCCATATATAAATCCATATCTTTAGAGCTTTTAAAACCAACATAAGATTATGGACAAGTTTGGTTAAATTTAGCCTAGTAATTTCAGAGAAGATTTTTGTAAAAATTAACGCACCACGAGGAACGACGGAGGCTAAGTGATGAGAAAAGCTCACTTTGTCCATTGGTTCAGGTGAACTTAAAACCAACCAAGAATTCCAAACAAGATTGCATCGCTTTTAAATTAAAAAAAAAAATGTCTAACAATTCATAATTGAGTCTCACACAAACGGGAAAAACTAATCAGACAAAGCAAAATTAGAATTAGTTTTGTTCCAATAAAGCAGGAGTTCAAGTGTTTACGGATTCAAATTGATGATAAGTTGTTTTCTAAAAAAATCGTTTTCCAACGAGCCATCAAACTCCTTTTGAACGCCAGATTTTAATTTACGTTATGCGATTATGCATTATTTTCTATGACAAAACCGGGTCCTCCTTTGTTAATTTTATGACGAAACCGGGTCGTACACATTGACAAAATCGGGTCCTTCTGTTTTGACATGACCCATTTCCTTCGTTCCATGCACATAAAAACAAATATTGAGGTGCTCAACTGACTAGTCTTGCAATCTCCATGTTAAAACCTTTCTTTCCGTACCTTTCATTCCGTACAATGTGCACAATTTAACGAGAATTTAATCAAATTCGAGACAAAGTTCACTTAATTCATCATTTTGACGTGCCTTTTTACTTATATCTCTGTTAATCTAGAACTGTTGTAGAAAATATTACATCTCACAATCGAAAATAGTTATATATGTATTTATATTCTTCAATATTATAAAAATAACAAATAAATAAACAGAAATCCTACATTTTTTCTGTCTGTTTATGGTCCGTCAACGTACCGGATATTAGATACCATTGAGTCCAAACATTTTTTGCCGGGGTAGTTTAGACACAGTGTATAATGGAATTTTATGCGACTGTCATACAATGGAGACATTTAGCTAGCTTTAAAACCAGGTTTAATCCACCATTTCCTACATAAGAAAATGACTGTACCAAGTCAGGAATATGACAGTTGTTATCCATTCGTTTGATGTGTTTTGAGCTTTTGATTTTGCCATTTGATTATGGACTTTCCGTTTTGTATTTTCCTTCGAGTTCGGTATTTTTGTTATTTTACTTTTTAAATGTCTTATTTTGTTATAGTCTCAATGACGTATACCCAACATATCTGTTTATTCTTAATTGTTTGTCGGTATAGTTCAAACAAGGTGTAAGCTTTTCCTATTAACCTGTATAGTTTTACCATACGAATAAAGTGAATGATATTACATGTGATGATGGGCACATATTTGAAATGTTGAAATGTTAAAGAGGTTCATCATTTATGATACCTTCATAGGTACTACCATAGATTAAGCTGTTTAATAGAATTGAGAAATAGTATGTGAAACAATCTTAACTTACAAAGTAGATGACGACTAAGCTCTAGCTTTTCCAAGACGCGATCAAGCGTACTAAATGTAAAGTCCCTACTTTTTTCCCTACAAGACTGCACTGCTGCGAATTTGAAATCATCTGAAATTTGATGCTGAAATTGGGTTTCAAAATTTTCCCACTCGTGAACTTTTAGTCCGAATTCGATTGCAAGTTCTCGACACTTCCCCGGAGAAAGTTCTCCAACCATTCTTCGCAGGTGTTTGTCCGATGGACATTGTTCTAGTGCCATTCTTCCAAGTCCTAAGTTGTAATATTTGTACATAAGTTTAAGATTATAACACATGCACATACGCATATATATATATATGTATATATCTTATATTTGAAATAAAATGAAAAATCAAATTCTGTCTAATCATAACATTGAAGATTTAAATTCTTGTGATAAGATTCCATTATTACGACGTCATTATAAACAAAACCAGTAAAACGGGACATTAAGGATGTACTTAGGTGAGGGTTTGGAATTTGTGTCAGATGTTCGGACTCCTTGGTGTTTTTCCATACGATACAAGGTAAAATATTTTGCCCCATAACACCTATTTATCTTTTAATATAAGACTTAGTAGCTCATAAAAGGTCATTTGACAAAATTTAAGCAGATTTTTGATTTTCTTTTGTTTGATTTGAGACCCAAATAAAACCAATGTAAATATAAGGTAAAAGTCCGAATCAGCCTTTTCCCGCCATATTTTATAAATCAAATATCTTGAAAAGGAGCTCCATGACCTATCAAAATTTTTAGCTTATTTTGGTCCTTACCTAATACTCTTCCAGCTTATAGTACCAATTTTAAATTTTTGATTTATTAAATTTCACCTTAGATCACCTAAGTACATCCTTAAACGTTTATTAGTGAATTACTTATTATGCCGCCAAAAACTGTATCGATACCTCGTAAATTAATTGCTGCGTTCTGCTTTGGATTATGATATTAAAAACTAAAAGAAGAAAACAAGCTTTGGCTTTGTTTATTCACCCGTTTGCTGTAAGCATTTTTTATTACTCCTTTTGTTTTTTTTTTAATTTCATCAAGTCTCTGATATAATATTTAAAGCGATATAACACTTCTAATATAAACAAAATACCAAACAATATCTCTCTCGCTCTCTCTCTCTCGTTTGCTTTACTAAATATGCATGAAAATGGAAAGTGTTCATTATTAGCTGATTCTAGATATAAATGAAATGAAAATTAATATTCACAGAACAGTTGCATACTGTGAAAGTACTTTTATTCGTAGTTTCATTTTTCGTGGTTTCAGCAAAAGTTACATGTTCGAGGGTTCTTAAATTCGTGGATTTTAGTTTTCTAAGAAAGAAAAATCGAGTGACGATTTTGAAGACTTCAGAAACGAATATTCGTGATATTAATCATATTTTGTTTAATAATGATTTTTGGGACCTTGTAAAATAAGGTGTTCATTTTCACTCACTTGTTCGTCTTTCATTATTAACAAAATTCAAAATATTTTTAACAAAATAATTGCTTTTGGAAATAAGCTGATTTATCTATGCTTACAAATTGTCTCGATTGAAGGAAAATGCAGAGTTAACATTTTAGTTGTTGCACACGTGTAATCAGAAGTTATGACACTTATTAACTCGAGATCGAATGATACACAGATGAATGATCATCAAAAGTGTTAATTGGGCCATACACATGTCACTTAACGAAAACGGTTACATATAAGAAAATGCTACAAATGTATTTGAATTGTAGAATTATTTTTATGAAATAAAAAAGCAAGACCAAAATGAAATCATTATTTTTTTTTGTATCATGAGAATTATAAAAAAATGAACACGTCTACATTATCGCATATCATCACCGGAAATCTGACTTTCATTCATCAAAACTTATTTCTCATGAGAATAAAAAGGTTCAGTAGTGCATTTTAGATATTTAAAGATTAAATGGGTAAAATCCGGCCTGAAGCTGTATCAACAAAATTTATATTCAGTTTGTTGGCTTATATGACAATACAATACAATACAATACAATATGTTTTATTAAAAAACACTCTAGTCACATTAACATGTGAAACAAGACAAACTGTATCCATGTAGTCAAACCTACATGGGGATCTTTCCATGTCTGGAATTGGACAATAGTTATTATATTTCGTTGGACACTTCGTACTTCATATGGCTTGTTTTTTTTTAACTTTTTGATTCGAGCGTCACTGTCTTTTGTAGACAAAACGCGCGTCTGGAGCGCAAAACTTGCATCGTGGTATCTATGATGAGTTTATTGTACCATTATTCTGTGCATAATTTTTAATACCGCCTTAAATGTTGTAAAAGAGTTTATGATACTTGACACTTATCAATAATTTCCTTCTACTCTTTCAAATGTCATCTTTAAAATGATAGGTAGGTTCAAGTATTCAAATTGCAAGTTTCAAAAGGTCACAAGTTTTATGTCTGTCCATGTCAAGTAAGGTAATTTTGCTATTGATTATACTTCGACTTTTTTGTGGTGTGAAGAATATTGTGAAGATGGTAGATCTGTAATAGTCTGTGTTGAATTGATACAGACTGTGCAGAATCGATTCAGAGTAAGACATTTGTCTTGTTTTTAACCGTGTGTGTACTTTTAAATGTCCATTCTTGCTGTCAAAATGATATGAACCCTACACCTCTTTCATTAAGAATGCATTTGTTGATATTAAATGAACATAGGGGCCTTTCATAGCCGACCGTACGGTAAGGGGTTTTCTCATTGTTTAAGGCCGTATGGTTGCCTATAATTGCTTACATTCACTTCATTTGAACTTTGGTGGGTAGTTGTCTTATTGGCAATCATACCACATCTCCTTATTTTTATATAGTTATCAATTGTTATTCAGCATTCCGAAGACGAAAACAAAAACAAAACGTATGTAGTGTCAATTTCTGTCGTTCATTCCACATGCCTCTGTTGAAGCAGTTTTTGAGTAAGGAGTATATTCCTACTAACGGAGTCCGTATAGTGTAAACATGCACAAGCATAACGTATCAAATGATATATGTAAACGCTATATGATCGGGCAAATGGTATGTTACTGTACTGCTGAATAATTGGAAGTTAGATACTGGAAATTTAAATCAGTCGTTTGTAATACATTCTAGTCAGAAATTGTCCATGTCCATATCGTGGTAAAGATCAAGATATGTAGCAGACCTTCCTCAAAACCTGACGAGGAGTATGGTAATTATTCAGAATTATAGAATTGGAATTACTACTGCATTTTACCCCCTTTTATCACAGCTTAAGCATGCACGAAGGTTACTGTGAAATCTAGTCTTCTCAATAAAGTTACCTATGCATGTGCTGAGACAGTCATCTGAAGGTTCCTGGAATAAAGAAATATAAAATCATGATAGTTTGTTTTATTTTTAGAATATACCATGGAGTTAAAATATCCCCATATTCGCATTTATAAAGAAAACAACAAATAAGTTGAATTACAAAATCATTTATACAAATTTAAGCATGATTGACGTTAGTTTGAACAATATACCAGTTATAATGCTTTCTCCTTTATACAAATTAAATATGAGTACTCTACTGGAACATAAGAGGTTACTACCAGTGTACTAGTTTTATTTCAAAATTGCTGTTTGGTATTTTTTTGTTCAATCGTTATCTTCTAAGTCTTTCGTTGATGTTTTTTTTTTAACCCTCATTAGCTTTCATATTATCTATTTTTCACATATTTCGAATAATTACACCCCTCATTGAAGTACTTTGTGATTACACTTTTTGTATAACTATTGAAATCACAACAAATATTTTTAATGCAAATACAATTTTGGAATATAACAAATAAGACACAGGAGATCAGATAAAGAACACGTTTTGCCTTTTTTTAATTTTCAATAAAATATATTTGGTCATTTGTAGTCGGTTCATTTTTATGTTGGAACAATGAAAAACCCAATAAGTATTGTAATTGTTCTGATTTCCAGATCAAATTTGATTTATGACCTTTTTCAATTACGAATGAAAATATGTGTCTATCTACCTTTTCCGAAAACCAATCTTGCAGGTAACCAACTTCGTGATTCTTTCTGTGCTGACTACAAAACCACGGTGAGTTGAGACGTAATTTACTGTGATGAAAAAAGCATATAGCTGACTTACAAAATACACCAAATTCAATATCGAATGGCATTGGCTTATGTTTCGAAGAACTGTTTTGAGCATCTGACAAGGTAGAGTAAAATTCGCAAATTCCATGCATTGCCGTGGTAAGACATTCTTGAATAGAAGAAGCTAAAGATGGAATAATGTTCTCCTTGTTCACAGCATGTACAAGTGATACTACGACTCTGTTTCCTTTCACCTGAACAGCAATATCGTGACTCTGGTCTACTTGAACCACAGTTAGGTCACTGAAAAGCATTATTGTCTCTCTGTTTTTCTCTTTATAGTTCTTTACGTGCCACATAGTGATGAATGAACCAAGTAATCGATATGACAATGCTGGTGGTATTACTTCTTCGATAAATTTATAGGCCATGACAATTGAATTATTACAATTCCGAAACTTTTCCAAATACTTTGTGTCGTTTGTTTTGGTTATCATACATGGAACAAGGAAACGTGAAACATCTTTCAACGGGCTAGTGGAAAGTTCAAAACTAGTTCTCGGAGCAATGATTACATCTAAATGTACTAACATTTCAACCATGTATTTTCTGTATGGTAAAATATGCACGAACTTCTCTTGTTCCCACAAGTGGTATATATCCTCCTTGTCGATGAATCCAGTTTTTTGAAGGGTTTTCAAAATTCTAGGGAAACGCCCGGTTTTAGGCCAAAACTGCTTTTCGGTCACTAAAGATCGAAGGACTTCCACTAAGTAGGCTGGTGATATGATGACATAGTCACGGAGGTTCTCTACATTGAAGTACAGAAGCTTTCCAAGTGAATGTTGAACTTCTAGAAATGTTTCCATTTGCTTCTCAGATAACGACATTGAATCGTTCTTAGAATTTAATGATCTAAGTTGCTCCCTAGAAATTACATTAGTACCTTCTTCAACTTTCATGGCCAACTGCAAATCTAATGGAATCCATGCTGTTGGCATTTCCTCACCCCATCGTGGATGTTCAGTCGCCCTTTTCATTAGTCGTTGTTGAAGTTCTTTAATTTCTGGATCTTCAGGATTTTTAGAATTGATGAATAGCAAGGGTTTAAATTCTAAATGCTTCAAGCCGGCGTGTGATTTGAATAGCTTTTGTATTTTATCTTCAAGCTTTCGTCGGTATGATTCGAATCTCCACTGAAAAACAACAGAAGAAAGTTAAAGGACATAGTTTATATAAATAAATTAAATCATTTAATTTCAAAGGTAACATATATGTTTATTTAGAGGTTAAGATTTTTATGAGTAGTAATCACATTCTTTTCTTTCTGCATTTCATTAAAAAATAGGCAATATTTATTTGCACGAAAACGTTTACATTTAAAAACAAACCTTTATAGCTGACTATTCGGTATGGGCCTTTTATTGCTGACTATGCGGTGTTGTCCATGCTCATTGTTGAAGGCTGTACGGTGACCTATAGTTGTTAATTTCACATTGATATGAACCCTACACCTCCCTCATTAGGAATGCATTTTTTGATATTATCTGAACGTAGTTATCAATTAGTATGCAACATTCTGACGGAAACTCAAACAAAACAAAACGTATGTAATGTCATTTCAGTCGTTCTTCCACATAATTCTGATGGAGCAGTTTTTGTGTAAATAGCACAACCCTACTAATGAAGTCCGTATAGTGTTAACATGCACAAGCGTAACGTATCAATTGATATACGTAAACGCCATATGATCGTGCATAGTATGTTATTACTGATAAATAGGAAGTTAAATACTGGAAAGTTGAATCATAACGTTTGTAATAGATTCTAGTCAGAAATCGCCCGAAAAGATCAAGATAGGTAGCAGACCTTCTAGCGGATTATAGAATTAAAATTGAAATAGTTGTTAATTTCTGTGTCATTTGGTCTCTTGTGAAGAGTTGTCTCATTGGCAATCATACCACTTCCTATTTTTATATCATATAAGGCAGTGACAGTGGCTTCATACAAAATAAAGATAAAAATAAATAAACTACAACTATAAGTGTATTCTTAAATAATCATTAATGTGCATGCACACAAATGTTAACATACTTAAAATGTCGACACATTTTCTTTATGAGAGACAATCATTAATATATTTTGCAGTGAATTTTATAATGACTTGCGAACCGCTGCTAACAGTGTGAACATATGCCTTAGTAACATTACTGAATGCAATTTAATACAATTTGAATATTTCTTTATTTCTATAATATAAGTATCTCGTAATAAGGCATAGCATGAACATTCTGAAAAGAAATGGTACTCATCTTTATTTTCCTCCCTGCTGATAGACAGGCAGAAGCGTCATTACAATACCTTACCCTTTCAATTGCTATGGAATGGGCACTGATGTAAAACTAACTGAACACTGATCTGTCAGATTTTGTTTTAAGGTATGCAATGTATCAGTATATGTGGGTCAGTGTCCAACGTTTTGGATAATATGAAAGAAATTTGACTTTTGACATTTTTGGATTGAAGTGTTTGGGTTTAGTTGAGTCTAATCAACGATACTTTTCTAAATTATATTTATTTTATTTATTGATATTATTGGGGTCTAAATTTATCCAGTTTTTTACTATATTGACCCGTTTATTAGTTTGACGACAATAATCCGGCTGCATTTGATTTAGAAATTAATATTCTGACTATAGTAAACTTTTCAACCCCCTTCCTCACAAAATTAAATGGTCGTCCGCTTAGTATAACATTTCATTATCACAACTATCACTGTTTTAAAAGATATGAAATAGTGAGATGCAGTTACCTTCCATATCAACGATATCCTATCCTTGTGAGAAGCAACAAATATGATTTTAGGAAATCCTTCTTTCGATCGTTTACAGAACGTCAATATTGAATTTACCCAGTGTAAAAGGTAAACTGAAATAAGAATATAATAGCATCATTACTGTAAACCAACTTAGGTTTCTCAATTGAATTGTTTCATATTCTCATGAGTGGGCCTATTATAGCCGACTATACTTTATGAGTTTTTTATCATTGTTGAAGGCCGAACGGTTGCTTATAATTGCTAACACCCACTACATCTGAACTTTGTTGGGTAGTTGTCGGATACTTTTGTTTGCATTTTATCATGTCTTGTCGACTTCGCGGTGATGTTTTATTGCAAGTTTTTTACTTTATTTATGTATTCAGATAAATGAAGATCAGACATGGAAAATATTTTTGTCAGTAAAAAGTCGTGGAAATAAATTCCAGCAAAACAAAAATGATTGGCTTATTGTTTTTGAAATCCTCAGTAAAAGTTTGAATTGTCAAAATATTTAATGATCTAAATGCTGGTTGTAAATGCTCTTCAAGAGGAGTGCAAGATACCAAAGGAATATTCAAACTCATATCTGGAAAACAAATAACTTAAAACCTTTACTAAAGTCTTCCATAGATACAAAGATTTGGTCTGCAAGTTTGGCTGTACCTGTAGAAAACTTATTTCAAACGGTAAAGCACATCCTAAATTTTACGGATATGTTGTTAACCGAGCCCGGAAATTTAGATACGATCCGGGTAAACTGATCAATCCTTTAAATACATTTATTCTAAAAGGTAACATATTCAACACTGTAATTAAATCTTTGAATATTGTTTTTATTGGTATAAATATTGATTTTTTGTTATCAGTTAAATAAAACCATACTAAATATTACACATAATTACTTTTACGATACTACAATCTGCCTATAATTTGGCATTGCACAAGGCCATGTTTTTCTCTGACTGTTAATGAAGTCGTTACACTAAATCCATTGGATGTTGGATGTGTACTGATTGATATTTTAGTCTTAGATACATGATTTTTTATTATTAGCTGTTATTGGCTTTAACATAGCTGTCAGTAACTGTGAGTACTCTCAGATCTGTATTTAGTGTCTTTTTGTTGTGGGGATGTATAAGTACTCGTCCACATCAACTCTGTGTTTTTGTTAGATTCATTTCTATTTGTATCCATCTGATGAGTTATAAAGCCTTTTCAACTGATTTTTATAGTTTGTTTTACTGTGATACCACTGTCCCAGGTAAGGGGGAGAGTTGAGCGTGTTTAACCCCGCCACATTCTTTTTCTGCCTGTTCCAAGCCAGGAGCCTGTAGTTCAACACAAATTCAACAAAACCAGGGGTGATCTTAGTGCGCGGGTAGAGTAAACAGAACTTGCTCTGCATGAGGCACCCGTCGAGTCGCTCATGTAAGTACAAATTTGTATAAACATCAGGAAATTTGTGTATTCACAATGTAAGTCTTTCGTGATACGTGTATCCGATCTACATTTTTAAAATAAGAAAATACAAAGAAACGACTGACACAAGACATGTTCGCCTGTTAGAATGAGATTTGCTTACATTGCAAATTGATATACCATTATACATCATGAACGTTGGGAAGGACATGCCATATGTGATGTTGGTGAATATTGGTTAACTTTTAATGTAATTTTAAGTGAAAAGTAAAATTACAAACATTTCCAGTATATACTGAATTTAAATACCCAAGTACAGGTTCAAGTTCATATGTAAATTACATGCAGAAGTAAATACATTTCAAAATACAAAGCAAGATAAAAACAAGAACTAAGGGATCGCATGAACACCAAAAGGTCGAGTGAGGTAGTTTTATAAAGAGGCTGTGATATCATAATTAAACGTTTACTTAGACATTTCGTTTACATGACACATCATAGATGGTGCACAGTGTTTATGAACAGGTAAACTTGTTGCATACGTATCAACTTAAATTCATGGCAGTATGTTATTTGTATGGAAATCAATAGCGTAAATCATTGTCGGAAATTATAATTGGCTTGAACCTGTATGTTTTCTTGATGAAAAAATGTGCATTTGGTCACCTAGAAGTCTTGATATATAATTTAGAGTTTACAGAGTTAGCACAGTGAGCGTTAAAACACAGAAACATATGTTTTTACGGCTGACACTTTAGTTATTAAGAAATCTATTCCATTTCATAGGACTTTGGGGCGTTGACCTTTTCATCAGAATCAGAATGGGACATCACTTTTGTATCTGACTGTTGTAATTGGAATTTAAAAAACAAATTCTAGATTTTTTTAATTTTTTTGCACCGTACCTATACATTGATAGTTTGTATTATACCAAACCTTAGCTTAAAATTACAAGGTTGCACATTTCTGAGGCAACGTAGACCTCTTGTTTTTCGTTTGTTGTTTTGCACATAAATCAGGCCATTGGTTTTCTCGTTTTAATTGTTTTACATTTCGGCATTTTTCGTGGCTTTTCATATGTTGACGGCCGTACGGTTGCTAACATCTAAGTCATTATGTCTCTATTAGATAGTTGTCTGATTTGCAATCATACTTGCTATCCTGGTCTCATATATTAAGATTGTTGCTACTAGGTTTCTCGTAAAAGCGATTCGTGTATGATACACGTGATCAGTTTTTGTAATTGTCTTCCAAAGCTTTTGATTCCAAATGTACAGAATTAAAGATATTCCAGTAACATTTGCCATGCAAAATGTAATTGATGTCAGTATCATACGTTTCAACATAAACTAACAAAAATGCAAACGTTAATAAAATGGTACAGACCCCAGGTGAGTTTCATTTTTCACAGTTACAAGTAACCGATTTAGTCATTTAGGAATTCATACGATTCTATCAGTTTTTGTTTGATCCCTTTATTTATTTTCTGAATCGATTAATGAAATTTGAACAGCAGTAAACTTCTTTTCCCTAAGTTTAGGCATTGTCTTGAACTCTTGAATCTTCATCGATGTGGACAGTCTGATTGGCCGATACGCCATTACAAGGACACTGAGACTGTGCATCGTGACTTAACAGTTTTTGATTAGTCTATGTTCAACACAACATATTTGCATTTTTTTGCAATTTAAATCCTTCTAAAAATTGTTGGAACAAATACGTAGTATGCATATCATACATCATATAATATTCAAATCTAAAGTAATGATTCGATTTTCATTATTGATCAAGTTGCAAAGCCGTGTGTCTACAGATAGACTGTATCCAGCAATGCATACATCACCAGCCATATATATGCGCATGTATATGCCACTGCACTTTGATGTTACTACAGTTATTAAAATCTTTAACTAAGTTTTTTTTTCATCCTATTTAACTTTTACCTGCAATTGTTGGTTTCCCAAAGTGCCCTGGTAAAAATCCAAGATCAGGCCTATGCTTGTGTATGCCTATACTTCCGTTAAACATCAGGATAAAAATACCTCTGCTGGTAATGAACAACTGGTGAGTCATATGATAATCTTTCTGGCCTCCAAAGTCCCATATATCTATTGGTACTACCAGTTGCTTGTATTTTCCTTCTTTAACTGCTTTGACCATAAGCTCATGTAATTTTTTGGTAGACATATCGCTTGAAATCTCCTTCATCCATTCGCTGTCAAATTGCCCCGAGATAATTTGGATTGCTTGTGTTGTGCTTTGACTTCTCTCTGTCATTCTTGGTAATTCTAGGATAAGTTTTTTCATACTTGAATCAAACATTAGAGCAGTTTTTATCTCATCAGTGGTAGAACACTGAGCATCAGCTCCTTTGGGCTGATTATCTGTAATATGATCGTCTTGGTTATCATCTAATGAGAAAGTAGGATTCACAGATGGTTGAATATCAATACAATTGCCTTCAAATGACTGCAGATCCTCTATTGTGTCTGCATCTTCTCTCTCTGATTTCTTGTGAGATGATGCAGTGGACATTAAATCTTCTGCACCCACCAATGAACCTCTTTGAGGGTCGTTATCTACCTTCATTGCTTGATAATTGCATTTTCGTTTGGTTTCCAAAAGATTTTGCTTTGTATGGACATTTGCACTGTTATTCCATGCGTCAATTGTAGCCTCGGCACTGGACAGTGTCATCAACATATTTGTCAGTATCTCAGTGACTGCGTTTCCTTTAAAACAGTAATTTATTTGTTGACATGTATGACATTTATAGATTAATATATACTGTCAATAATAATGAATGAACACTCATACTCCGAAGTAAAAGTATACATTTCAAACAAAACTTTGGGCTACAAATTAATCTAACAACGGCGTAAATATTAACATCTACAAAGAACTAAAATGTTACAATTAAAGCTTCGTGTATAAATTCATAGAAATACCCTTTTCGAAATATATCCATTTCATTTCATCCACGTCCATACCAGCTCTTCCCATGTAGATCCATATACCATCGGTAGACTCCCTTGATTCTGGAACTCGCTCTCCTACGAGGATTTTTGCTAAGCAACTCTTCCCAACAGAAAATGGACCTACCAGATAAACTCTATTCCAAAAACTCTTAAAAGAGCTTTCCTGTAGTAAATCTTGTAAATCAGAAGCTGTTTCTAGCCCTAGCCCCCTCAGCTGTTGCAGAAGCTCAACTGTAAAGGTAAAAAGATGATCTACGAATAAAGACTCGGTGTTGTTGGATTGGTATCTATTATCTTACTAGTTTGTTTATGAATCATATAATATACGTCATTTTGTCTCTAGTGGATATTTATCTCATTGGTTATCATACCACATCCTCTTATTATTATGCATCGCTGTCGTCATACAGCTGCTTAGACCATTTGACGACTGAATTTACCAAATTGATAATTTTTCATATCAGTACGGCCTCGAATAGGAGCACATTTGTTTGGGATTTTGTCCATTTATTTACATGTAATAGTACCGTGTTCTTTGCTTAGATTTATTGCTGTTCCGGTTTTCTTTTCTTTTATCAAAGTGGATTTATGAAATTTTAACTTCAATAAACTACTGTTGCATAGAATTGAATAATTTCGTAAATCAAATACATTTTTTTTTCAAAATTACCAATTAAAAACGTAAGAAACAAAATACGAGAAAGAAGATACTAAATGGCAATCAAATCCTATAAGTAAAATAAAAAAGACAACATCAATGCCTGAAAGAACAAAAAATAACGGACAAGAAACACAACATCAAAAACGAAATTTGAACTCAACTAAATACCAAGGTACTATCAGGGGCTTCTGAAGGGTTACCAGTTCCTGGTCAACTTTGACATACATATGATGCTTACAATTAAATATGTGTATCTTGTAAATATTGTATTTTGTTTTTTAATTCTGTTTTGTGTTATAGATTTCAAATGAATAAGTCATCAAAGATTGTGAAACCAGTTGGAAATTTAGAGTCATACGACCTGTTGAACAATTTCCTTCCTTTGGTTGTGGCAATATTACGCCATTTGTTACAACAGTTTATATTATAAGTGTTACCCCAGTTTTGCCAAAAAATTTACTCAACTGTTATTTCTGTGCATGTATGCTATTTTATCCATGAAATTGTTCTTTAAATCGCCGAAAATTTGATAGATATCGTCAATGAATTTAAACTGCTATAAAATTTTAATCCCGAATGGTCAATACACTAGCAATCTTGTGACTGTGTCTTTGGCAATTTTTAATTGAAATTTAAACCAAATGAAATGTGAATGTATTTACTAAAGGCTTCTTTTGCAAATTGGAATAATTGATTATTTTCCATTATTGTTCTTCGTCAGTTAGGTATGCAACATCTTTTCCGCATCGATCATTTCAAAAAGATTTGAATGATATGGTTTGGCTGCCATTTAGTACTGTTGTGCGCAAATGTTTTAAGTATTTTTTGTCCATTTTGTTATCTAGAGCGTGTCGTGCACTGATATCAGTATCATACGTTTATATTCTTATGGTAATCCAGGTAACTTTGTATTACTATATTTTTTAACTTGCAAAGTTTTATATAGACTGGTTATTTTATATAAGTAATGAATTAGTTAGAAGCACTATTGGATGATATATTGACGATTTGTTTAATGTCGTAAAATGAAAACTAAAATTATTTCCTTTATAACTGACATCAGGAACAAACACATATTAATGTTACCGTCCCGTTGGTCTGGTGGTAGTGTGCTGGCCTCGAGTACTGGAAGCCGTGGGTTTTATATCTTGGTTGCTCAAACAGAATACTTGAAAATGTGTATGTGTTGCTTCTCCTCTATGCACGCGTCAATTAGGATTAACAGCATATTCGAAGGCAGAATAATGTGTCATGGTTAGTATTTTTAGATCAAATCTAATGATCACTAAAATGTATTCCCATCAGGTATAATGATAAGAAAAAACATCGAAGATCAGTATTTGCCAGAACATCGTTGAATGTGGTGGAAATTATACTATTTTGTGAAATGAATACGCACCAGCCCACAGTATAACTTCTGTAGCAGTCACCATGTAACAGTTATTTGTATATGAATTGAAAAATGCATAATATGCATAATATATCGGATAGTACTTGTTAAAGGAGCATTAGCTGCCATTTAGACAAAAAAAAAATCAAACATTTATAAAAGCAGATTAATGAAATAATATTTCGCTATGAGCAGTCAGTTTGGTTCAATTTGGCTAAAATAAGATCGCAAATGAATCATTGGCTTGTAAGTAAAATATTCAACCTCAGTTGAACACGTATTTATATAACCCTAACTTGATCATTAGCTGAAGTTGGAGTACGCATTTCCTACGCGTGTTCAGTTATTCAAAAGAAAAGAATGTCAACTTTGAAAAGTGAAACATGGGAGCCACCATAAACAAATTTCTTTGTCCGATTCGGTCAACAAGAAATCATTCATATCCAGGTAAAACCATGATTTACATTTTCATATCTATGACATGAAATAAAACAGAACTGGAAAAATCGTATTTCACTACTCAACAGGCTTTTCAGTCTATTTATATTTATATTTGTGATTATATCGGGAAGATGACTATAGGCGGTCTTTGGAGGTAATCCTGATTGTCTAAAATACGCATTATTATAACGAGTCAAAAGTAAAATAACAAAAATACTGAACTCAAAGAAAAATTCCAATTGGAAAGTCCCTTATCAAATGGCCAAATCAAAAGCTCAAACACATCAAACGAATGGTGACAACTGTCATATTCCTGACTTGGTACAGGCATTTCCTTATGTAGAAAATGGTGGATCGAACCTGGTTTTATAGGTAGCTAAACCACTAACTTGTATGACAGTCGCATAGAATTCCATTATATTGACAACAATGTGTGAACAAAACAAAGAGACATAAAAGGTAAAAATGTATAAAATAGGGTACAGCAGTCAACATTGTGTTATAATCTTAATCACTATAAAAACAAACAAATATGTCAACAAAGAAAAACTAAATGGCATATAGACAAAGCACATAAGCAAAAATGAAAGACAAGACTACAAAAAATGACCACGACACAACAACACAATGGCGATATGCATAAGTACCGAGCCACGGCAAAAGAATATTTCCAAAAAATGGACTAAACAGAAAAGGTTAATAATTTACAATGACACAGAAAAGAACACTATTACACGTAATTAAGAGAAAAAAAAACCATTCAGTACCTAGAATCAATGCATTGTTAATTGTTTCTTTTGGACTTTTTGTAATGTTGATTTGCTTTTAAGTGTAGTTTAAATCAAATAACTTTGAGAATTAAGTCAATTCTGGGATCATGAATTTGACAGCTAATGTCCCTTTATATAATTTCTATCATTAATTGTAAAACTCATATAATTTGAGGACTGTAGATGATTATATTGATTATGTTAGGACAATAACTGCAATAAGAAATTAATGTAATAGCAGACAAGTATGTTTCTAATGCAGATGTTCAAATGAGAAAGCAACTCAACATAATCAAAGTCATCAAAAGATAAACATACCGTTCATACAGCTTACAAGTGTCGAAAGAATAAGTCATTAAAGTTTAAGAAACATACATGAAGCTAAATATTGAAAAAAATGCTAAAATATCTTCAACAAATCGGTACCTTATATGAAGATATATGCATTAATTTTTATGAGACAAGTAAGTTCTACACTTTCAAAAATTGGTCAACAACCCTTAAATAAGTTATTTTAAGCAACATAGCAATTAAGATAATAACAAAAAAGACAACAAATAACCTCAACCAATACCAGTTGCCCGATGTAAAATGGCGACTAAAGTATATGAGGTACAACCACAGAAAAAATCTAACCTAACAAACTTAAATTAGAGGACCGTGACACAAAGACAGACAAAAACTTACCATGCTTACAATATAAACTTCCGTTACGTCGTATATGAAATGTTATCACCCTTCTCTTCGTCGATATCACCCTAAATTGCTACGTAATTCTTGTATAATGGCTCTAAGACTTGAGCAGGCATTATAAGTGACGTCACAATGTCAGAATAGACGTTATCAAGCTTGCTATCGTTAAGCTTTAAACTGTCCAGGGGAGAGGAAAGACACCAATAATTGAACAATAAACTAATCATCGGGTTTTCTACATAATAGAAATCAGCCGCTCGACACAGTGTGATACTTTTCAGCTCGTTCGCTGCGTCCACTGACCAAAAAAAGTTCACATTGAGGCTCGCTCAATGTGTAGAAAATCCGATAACATATACATATTTGGTTAACTATGACCGATGGAAAACTAACCAAATCGATGTACATATGTATAAAATAAACGAAATTGAATAAATGCGATTTAGCTTTGTTGATTTCAATTGAACTCGAAACACATATTTATCAGAAAACGATAAACACACTTGTAGTTTACTAGATGAAAATAACACTAAGTAAATTGCGTGCCTTCAATAGTTTTTCTGGATATACCTCAATTAGGAACGCTCAGACACCAAAAACCATGAATCATAAATATATAAACACGTCAGTTGCGACATGTAAATGACAAAAAGTGACAGATAAGGAATAGCCAAATTCTCCCAAGGTCAATTTTAATTTTTCTGATGGAGTGAGAACAAAAGTTTCTTAATAATTTTAAAGGTTACTCTTATATAAAGATATTAACATATCACCTTACCTTTCTGTTTTTCTTCCTGAAAAGAGAACTTGTAAGTGCAGAAAAAATGGTGCAATGGTATGTAAATTATGAAACGAAAGTCTATTGGACGTATTCACATGTACAGAAAACAAACATCGCACGTAAAACTAGGAAATAACCAAAAATCACACAATCTAGATGGGATATGTATTTGTCTAATTCAGTTGTTATGATAATTCAATGCTGCATACTCTAAATGACATGGATACGAATTAAACTGTTGCAATCAATATGTCATATACGTAAATCTTTACAGAAGTTTCAAGAAACAAATCACAAATTGCAAAAGATATAATTCGGAAATAAAATTTTACAGAAATCTATTTATTTAGTTATTAAAATCCTATAAAATACCGATGGAGAACTTTGCGTCGAAGTTTGAGCATTTTCTTTTCCATATACAGACCCGTACAATTACTCCTGGTCTCATATAGCAATACAAATACACAGAAAAATGGTAAACTGTAACCACGTAGGACTACAAGGTAGAATATATATCCACTATAGGGATTGTAATTCGTCATTTTTGATTAGTAAATGCAAGGCCACGTCCAAACTGATTGGCGACGTTAGATTAAATACATCTTTGGAAAACTAAAAGGCCCTTTGGATTTACACCAGTTTCTCTAAGGGGGTTTTGTCTGATGTTCGGGATTTGTAATTACACATCTACGTACATGTACATCTGGCTTAGCAAATACACAGTGACAACATTAAATAAAGAAACATAGTAATTTGGGACTAAAATGACTACCAAACAGGCATGTGAGTGATTGTGTCTAACCAATATGATTTCTTCATGATCTTATTTTGTTTGTACCTGAAGAAGACTTTTCATTTTCTTTCGTCTGTCAGTCTGACACAAAAATTCGGAGGATATCCTATCTAACGCAGTTGACCCCTGTAAAAGTAAGAAATGAGTGTAAATAATTTAGAAAAAAACAGTATGGGTACTGAGAAAAGACTGTGTAAATACACCATATTAGACTTTCTACATTTTGTTGCGTATATTTTTTTCAATTGATTACTTTAATTTCAATTTCAAGTTATCTAAATTCATTGTTATTTTATTCACTTTTTATGTTTTATCCTGCTTTATCATATAGATGAACAGTCTTTTTGTTCGGCCTTCAACGATGAGCAAAGCTTATACCGCATAGTCAGCTATAAAAGGCCCCAAATTGACAAGTGTAAAACATTCAAACGAGGAAACTAACGGCCTAATTAATGTACAAAAATAAGGAACGAAAAACAAATATGTAACACATCAATTTTTTGTATGTTTTTTGTTTTTTGGTCTTTGATCTCAATCAAATCAATGACAAATATAAGCCTGAGATACGCTAATTCTGGCAGTACTGACCTGAATTAATTTGATTAATGCATTTCAATAATCAGTAATTAGTATAGACAGGAAGAATGAAAAGAAGCTAGCGCTAATTATCCCCAAGTAATTGCAAATATGTATGACGATGTCCTTTACTCAACAATTCTTTCTTCGTTGGGTACTTTGCAGCACTCTGCATAACAGAAGAAGTTTATTTCAATTTTAGGTACAATAAGCATAATGTAGCTATGTCTTTAATAATTACAGCTTTCCTGACGAATGCAGTTTTTTTTCTGCCATAAAATCAAATGCACGAAGAAACGTTTAATAGAAAATTACTAGCACTGATATCAGTTTTTCATTTTTTTTATCTGTGTCATGATTAAAAGCAGTGGGGTTCCTTTTGTCCTCCTTCCATTGTATATCTGATCCTCTTAAATGCTTATATATCACTGCCACTATAAAAAAACCAACCCAAAAGGTCTGATCAGTCAACAGTATTCAATCTAAAAGAATTGACCACAGTATGGCTAAGAAAGAATTTAAAGTCCACAAAAAGTTATACGGAAGGCTAAAAGTCAGACAACAAGATCCCCCACAGCATCAAAAGGTGATTTTGTGTGTAAAAAAGTTAGCAAACTAATTTGTGGCAATTGGCTGTGAAGTAGCTTTCTGTAGCTGCAGGTATTCTTGGCTCGGTACTTTGTGTCTTTTGTCTTTCTGTAAGTAATTTTTTGTGCCTGTAGTTGTCCTTGGTTGTTGTTCCATATTTGTATTTAATTTTATGTTTTAGAATACATGCTCGTTGTGCAAGGTCATAAAGTATATTTTACATTTTGTCTTGCCGGATCCTTTTATATGTTACTCTCGAGTATGGGTTTTCTTATTGTTGAATGCCTACCGTACGATGACCTAACGTTGTTAAAATTTCCATCCGTCCATCGCTAGTGGATAGTTGTTTCATTGGCAATGATAACATCTATGTACATTTTAATAACCACATAGGTTTTAAATCATTTAAGATATAAAAATTAATGAACTTTTATATTGTTTTTCGTTCATTGTTTTGTATATGAATCAGGCGGTTCGTTTTCTCGTTTGAATTGATTTACCTTTGTTTTTTTCAAGGCCTTTTATAGCTGACTATGCGGTATGAGTTTTGCGCATTGTTAAAGTCCGTATGGTGGCCTATATTTGATAACGTCCATGTCATTTGGTCTCTGGTGGAACGTTGTCTTATTTGCAATCATACCACATCTTCTTATTTTGATATGAATGGATAATCATTACCATAAAATACTCACACCTGTTGTTGCTGAGTTTACTTCAGCTCCCTTTTCAACAAGTACTGACACTATATCCAATTTTAAGTCTTCAGCTGCATAATGAAGTGCTGTAAATCCCTATTGAATATAAATGATATACATATCGTTTAAAGATTACGTTTTTTAGGTATATTGTCCATAACTTTATAAATCAGTATAGGTATAAAGGTCATAGTCATTCGTTATCCTGGTGACTGATTGTATAACAAATAAAATTGAGAATCCATGAACTGTATATTGTTTTGTAACAGAACGATTAACATTGTGATCAGGAATCAAACATAGTAAAAGATAGTGACCAACCACAAAGAAAGTAACGCGAAGATACTTGAATATTTATGATGTTATTTATTGAACATGTCGAAAGAAACCATTCACGCATGCATTTCAATGAAGTTCTTTGATTATTTATTTATAGTAGATTTAAATTTTAAAAACAGTTTCTAAATTTTTGTGAGGTGCGCCAATATTCATAGTCCTGTTTGCTTTAATGTGTCCAATTACACCACCAGTCCAGCTATGTTGCAAACCGTAACTCCTATTTACACACCGCCTCAGGCATATGCCCACATGGCCATACGATCACACAAGATCGAAATAACCCTACGTAATAGAATAGGGAATGGAAACGGGAAATGTGCCAAAGAGCAGAAAACAGCCCAAGGCCACTAATGTGTATTCAACGCTGCGATAAAATCCTGCAACGGAAGCGGCATTTAGTTGGTCCCTTATCAATAATGTTAACTAGTTCAGCGAAATAGACGCCACCCTAAAATCCGAAACTGAATTTTAAAAACACACACGTCTAACAATGGCTAGAGGTTCTCGACCTGGGACAGGCGCAAAAATGATGTGGGGTTAAACATATTTTGTGAGATTCACCCCTTATACCTCTAGGCAATGCGGAATGAACAAACACACAGCAAAATGAACAATACGCACAGTAAAACATAGTTTAAAAGTAAAAAAAAAATCACAGTTTTTTTAACAGTTTATTAAATTGATTTATAAGTATGATCATATCAACGATAATTCATGTCCAAACTAACGTGCTGACTCAGCAGTAGATTCGACCTAATGGTTGTTAATAAACTCATCATAATTACCAGGGTTAAAACTTGAACACTGCATCTAACGATCACTTTAAAATTCAGGGGCAGTGGGTCCGGCCCACTTTATAGAGCTACGTATATATTTAATGCATACACTTTTTACCATTTCCATTCCTATAACATTGTCTAGTCGGTAACCCTCGTTTATACATTTTCAATTTCAGCAGTGGTGTAAGCACCGTAACTCTATATCAAATGGAATATCTGTAGACATTAATTCGTTTTCACTACGCCACCATACAAAATATGTTAGGCATGACACTTTATGAAATCGTTAAAAGGACTTGCAAATAATTGATCAATTCTTTAATATTCTGGTGTTTTGAAATTGCAAATGTGTTTTTATAGGCATAAACATGATTATTTTTTTTTTATATTAACAATGGAAACAACTATTTGTAATATGATTAAACTTTGATATATTACCTTTATATAATCAAATAAAGGCAATAGTAGTATACCGGTGTTCAAAAGTTATATATCGATTGAGAGAAAACAAATCCAGGTTAGAAACTAAAGCCGAGGGAAACACATCAACTATAAAAGGAAAATAAAGGAACAACAGTAACACTGACGTGCAACAAAAACAAACGCCAACATACATAGAAACGAACTATTTGATAACAACTGCCATATTCCTGACTTGGTACAGGACACTTTAAGAAAAAATGGTGGGTTGAACCTGGTTTAATGGCTAGCCAAACCTCCCGCTTTATGACAATGTTAAAAAAATATCGCTGAAATGACAACACTACTTGACAGAAATACAACACAAACACGCTCAAGAACATTCATCACAGAGAAACGCACAAACAAATAATATAATAGTCGACACAACATGAAAACTGCAGAACAAAAACGAACATATTCCATCAACGACAAACAACACAGGATGTATAAAACAGTGACGCGCTTACTTAACTAACATGCAATCTCGAACTTTATACAATTATTTTCCCAATACTCGTCCAAAGTATTTTCATGACAATGATGTTATAGAAAGGCAATTTTATAATTATTTGGACTACAAACGATAAGACATAACAGATTATCCAACCGAAACCATAACATAAACATCAAAAATGAATACATGAATGTTGGATGTACAAAATACCGAGAGACGTCGTATAGTAATGCAAACACTCGGTATAACAGTCATATTCGGGAGTATGACAATGATGGTATTGAAAGGCAATTTTATAATTATTTGGACAACAATCATTAAGACAT